GTAGCATCATCTATCGGTAATCATCATCTCTCCCATTCTATCTTGTATCTATTCTAGGTCGTGCATGTAGTACTGCAGAGATTGAAAATAACCACTTTCTTACAATTCGACCGTAGTATCATCCGGGACGGAGCGACAGTGTATTTGCAGGAGTAGTATATCCTCCTGTCCGCTGCCATGTCATGGTCCTGGGGACTTTGTTCAATCAGATAGAGTATTCCCGGGAGCTATCAGCAATGTCTGCCGCAATTTGCCTGTATTCTTTAGAGGTTGTGGGTGTCGGCGGGGTGATGATGGTTGGGGTTGGGTGGTGGTGGAGATGGGAACAGTGACTTTGGGGTTGGTTGGTTTGGGGTGTGGTGATGGTAGGAAGGGAGGGAGGTAGGGGTGGTTTAGTGTTTTGGATACTCGGTCCGGTGCCGTTTGCTTTCGTCGAGGAGCTTGGCTGGTGGGAGGAGCTGGCGATGTTGCTTGGGTTGGGGATGTTGCGCGAACGGGGTGGTCGTGGGTGTATCGCCCGCCTTCTTTGTGCCTTCTAGGACGTAGCACAATACTAGAGACCGAAATACAAACTCCAATCATTAACCAACAACAGCCGTCATGAAACGTGAGAACTAGAGACAAACCAGGCTCCAACGAGACCATCCCACAGGCCCCTGTAATTATTGATATTGGACCATCCAGCCCTTCAAACACCAAAAGCCGTGGCCAAGGTGGTACTCCAAGAAGAGAGACTGGAGCACCATCAAGGGTAGTTCATAGGTAGTTTTTAGTTCTCAACCCTCACTGTTGTATAACCAAGCGACGCACAAGACCTCCGCTGCTCGCTCCAGCCCCGCAACCCTACTCCCTAACCACTACTTCATCACTTCATAAACTAAGGGACCACAACTGCCACAAGCCAAGAAAGCAGAAAAAAAGAAAGAAAAATATATATATCAATGATCACCCTCCACCCTCTCCAAATCCACACCACCCCCAAACTATCTAACACAAACCCCCCTCCCCCCAATTTCACTCACCTCCCAGCCCCATTTGAGAACGCGCTCCTGACCTCCGCACGCGGCCACTCAAACAGCACATCCCCGCCATACACATCCGTAGTGACCCTCCCCACGCGCATCTCCACATCGCCATAAAACTTCTCACACTCCTTCGTGACCCTGTTCACCAAACTGCTATTCCCACCCACAGCGATACTACTCCGCCCGGGCAACGCCGGCACGCCAGCGGCCCCGCCGCCACCGACCGTCAACCCGCCCCCGCCAGCCTCCTCATCGCCAAAGTGCTTCTCGACACGCTTCCGCAGCGCCTCGATGCCCTTCCTGACCTCGCGGCCATCATAGTTGCCGAGGACCTTGTTAAACACGGCCTTGGTGTTGCTGGGCTGGGCGGCGATGCCGGCGGCGCTCTTGCCGCCCTGCAGCTGGGCCTCGATGTTCTCGAGGTGCTCGAGCAGCTTGCCGAGGGGGCGGCGCATGACGGCGTTGAGGTAGAGGCCGAGGTGCTCGGCCATTTCGCGCTGGGCGGCGTCGCGCCAGTCGTCGAGGACCTCGAGGTGGCGCGCGTTGTCAACTTCTTCGAGGAAGTGGTTCATGTTCTCGATGAGGAGGATGTGGAAGTTGAGGGCTTCCTTGTCCTCTGGGTCGGCGACGGCCGAGGCGGCCGTGGCGGCGGATGAAATGCCGGTGCTGCCGAGTGCCGGGTTCTCGCGCGCGATCACCTTGAGGGAGTCGAACATGGACTTGAGCAGCCGGTCGTACTCGCGGTCGACCATGCGCCGGACGGCGAGGGAGGGGTCGGTGGAGCCGAGCATGTTTTCGACAGCTGTGCTGAAGTGAGGGAAAATGCGGATGAAATGGATGACGCCCTTGCGTTTCTTGATCTTGACTTTGGTCTCCTCGATGGCGCGGATCTGGTCGTCGACGAACTTCTTGAACTTGGTTTCGAGGTTGCCGTGCAGCTTTTGGAGGACGTTGTTGAGGAAGTCTTGGTTGGACTGGCTCATGTCGGCCATTTTGCGCTCGAGGGTGGCCAGGATGCCTACCCCTTGTCTAGGGGGGGTTAGCTGTGGAATAAAACCAAAGAAAGGTCGGGGAAATCTTACAGAGGATCCATGACCAACACCCAGTCCATCAGCTGCTGCAGATTGGATTCTAGGAACATAAATATCGCCTCCATGGCCTTGGTGACCCGGCGCGCGAGGTCGCGGTCGGGCTCCATCAAGCGGTGCCGTTTCAGATCGCCACCGCGGCGGTCGTGGGGCCGCGAAGCTGTGACGAGATCCGGGAAGTCGGACTGCTCGAGGGTCGTCGCGTGGAAGAAGTCAACGATGAAGTTCTGCTCCATCTCCACTAACGGTAGCAAGTCATCCAAAACCCCAGCAAACACCTCGTAAGGCAGCGCCCTGCCGTCCGGTGTCTTCTCGGCTAGGTTCGTCCGGCTGCCGTCGCCAAGCGGGGACCGGAGACTCCTCGCCAGTGTTTGGCTACGTTTGACAGTGAGTTTCCGGGCCGTCGTTGCGAGCCCCTCTTCCTTCTTCTCCTGCTGTGATGTAAAAAGGAGCTCGCTCTCATCACCCGTCACCTTCCTCACGGTCTTCTTCCACGCTTCTATGGCCTCCCTAAATTCGGCCTTGTAGATCGGATGGCTCCGGTCCTGGTAAATCTGGAGGATGCGATTCCAGTTATCGAGGTCGACGTCCCTGGCATACAGAATCAAGGGGCTGTACATCCACAAGAGGTCTCTTCCGGGCTCATGGTTCCGAGCGTCGGCCTTTTTCGCCAACGCTCCATCAAGCGCCATCTTTGTCTCGCGGAAGGCTTCCGAGAAGTGCCGCTCCATGAAGATCACGAGCCGACGCATGAATTGGGAGCTCTCGGCGAGGTACATTTCCTTCTTCTCCTGGACGATGCGCATCTTGCCGTAGTCGCTGTCAAGGCCGAGGGACTGGTCACCATTCATGTCCTCGCTTTTCCGCGACTCGCTGTTGCCCAGTGTTGGGTCGATCTTGATCATGGCCTTGAACAGCGTGACGAGAGAAGCCTCGATATCCTCCACGCCAGCTGCCGTTTCCAGGGGCGCCATTTTCAGAGCGTCGAGATCGGATTCGCTGATAGCACAAGTCTCGAGCAGCGACTCTAGTTCTTTCCTGAGCAGCTTCTGATTTGCGGCTTGTACTTGGAGGCCATGGCCCTGGGCTTCGATGTACGCAATATCATCCGAGAGTGTCTGTACCCGTTAGAACACGACCACCAACAATCCAAAATCTAATTCACTTACGGATAGCTCAACGCTGTACAACGTTAGCAAGTTGTCCAACTCATCACACTCGCTGATGGACAAGTCAATGCCCCTCTTGATGGCCTCAACCCGCTCATCCTCTTCCTGGAAACGGGCGAGCCAGCCGCCGGCCTGCGCCTTGCTCAGCTCGCGGTCAAGGTCTGTTCGCATCTCGTCAAAGTTGCGCGAGCGCATCTTCTCGCCCGGAACCCACCCGAAGTAGTCCAACCACTTGGCAAACTCGTTCGTCCGGTTGTCGAGCAGGGAGGGATCTATGCCCAAGCGTCGCAAGATATTTGGTGTCGTTTCCGGCGACAACCGAGCGACGTGGCCCCTCCACCGTTGGGGCCTCTTCAGCCTTCTTCTCCTTTTTCTCCTTGAGATCCTTAATCGGTGGTTGGGCGCTGGTCGGCCCCGTCGCGGAATCGGAACCGGTGATCTTGACTTCGGGGATACTAGGGACAGCAGCTTCGGCCGGGGCAGGCTCTGGCGGCTTCTGGACCGGTACGGGTTTCGGTGGCGCTGGGACCACGCTCGTAATACCATCGGGACCATCGCTAGTCTTGTTCTGGTTCGATCGCAGACGCTCCGCGGCACCGCCCGGCCTCGGCTTAAACGCGCTGGCCGCGCTCGCGGCTTTCCAAAATGCTCCGGCAATTTCCCCCTTGGATTTCTTGTTAAGCATGGACTTGAGCCCCGGTTTCGGTTCCTCTTCAGGCTCCGGGGGAGGCTCGGGTACGACATTATCGGTCGGCGGCGTGGGGATAGGTGGTATGGAAGATGCTGGGGGGGCAGAAGGAGGCGTTGAAACGGCGGGACTGGGGGACCGCTTGGGTGTCGTGACCTCGGCTCGAGGTGGAGTTTCGTTTCGGCGACTAATCGAGTCCTTTCGAGGCGCAACTCTTTCTACGTTTCGCGGCGGCACTGTCGGCTCTCGGCGCATGCCTGGGCTCATGAGCGGGGCGGGTATTAGGTTCTTATCGACCCCCAACGGTCGCAAAGGATCCATTGGAGGCCGTTTCCGCTCAGGGGGCTTCTCCTCGGATGCTGGGGCCGGGGTCGGCTCAGGAGTAATGTAAGGAGAGGAGCCGGTCGGTCCATTTCTCGTACTCGGCCGCAAACTGATTGCGTCTTCGCTTCTCGAGATGGATGACGCTGCGACCGAGTCTTGGCTCATGTTGCCGGAGGCGAGCTTGCGCAGCGACTGATGGTCCTGGGAAGGCCGCCCCGTATCAATGCTCTGGGCAGGCGACGACGTTCCGTTCGGCACCAAGGGATTGCGGGAGCCCATCCTTTCACGAAAACCTGCCGGTGCCGGAGTGGCTTGCGCGCTAAAATTTTGGGCGCTGAGAGGCGCATTGTATCCAGAAGAAACGGAAGCATTTGTGCTGTTTGGCGCAGTGTCTAGTGGAGAGGGCCGAGGGGGCGGTCGTTCTTGTCGTCGAGCTACTTGGGCCCCGCCGAGGACTTGGTCGAGCTCGCGCTGTTCAAAACCTGTCAACGTAGGGTTTCGCCCGCCGGTGTACTTGTTAAAAATCTTGATCAGGCTGGCGATGAAGAACTTCTTCTCCTTGTCGGACTGGGCCTGCCAGTAATACGGCTTGCCAAGCGATACGACAAACCCCACATCTCCTGCCCACTGTTGAGCGTTTGGGTTAACAGTCGGACTCGTAAAGGACTCGATCGCCGTCAAATCGTCGAGGAACCAGGTCTTGCCGATCGAGAAAGTGCCATTGGGATTCTCCTTGGACTTGTGCACGCGTACGCGGCCTGATTTGCGCACGGCGACGATAATGACGCGGGGCTTTTCGTACTGAGGCGTCCTTGCTGAGGGCGGGGGCGGCGCCGTTGGGGAGGTTTGGTACTCTGTAATCTTGATATGCGTTATATATGTTTCAAGGGCTATGACCGGCTGTCAGTTGGGGAGGTTTGTCCGAGGCAACCTCCGGATGGAGGGAGTATTGCTGCTTACGGGAGCCATCCTCGTCGCGCTTGGCGAAGCAGCTGTCGATTATCCTCCTCTTTTCATCCTCGAACCTCTCCGCCCTGTTCACCTCGCGGCCGTTCATTGCCGTGGTTACGACGGGAAAGCGCGCCCGTCAAGCTGAGGTTGTAATTCGAGATTCATGAACGATCGGGCAGCGACTGATGGCGGGGGTGCCGTGACATTTTGGGAGCGCCGCTCGCACAAAGGATCGACCGAAGTTGCGGGCGTTGTTGTCGCTCGGTCGGGGTTCTGTGTAGGCCCGGCTGCGAATGCGGTCAATGCGCAGCCGAGTTCGAATCGCGGGGGGCAGCTTCGTCGAGATGCAAAAAGGTGGAGTTGTGGAGTTGGATGAGGCTTGTGCCCCGAGTTATGATGGAACTCGTTTCGAGGCAGCGCCGCTGAGGTTGAGGCCCGTGCGGTCTCAAGAATGGCATGCTGTGGTTCGCTGGACCGGGTCCTGCCGCAGCCAAGACATCTGCAAGCAGGGGACTCGAGGACCGCTGGGACTTGGCGTGCTCTTTCCTCCAAACCCCGAGCAGCAAGAGAGACATGCTCAAAAACCTATATTGACTCTACTTTCTACTTATCTTTTCTTTTTCTCTTTTTAACTTCTTTGATGTGACTTGATTTTTTTTCTTGGTTTTTTTGCTCCCATGTCGACCTCAGCGTTTTTGGCCAGAAGATGGTGCGCCAGACCTCTCACATTTTGCATGCTGGTCACAATATGACAACTCGAGTGTTCCGCTCTTAGTGGAGTGGTATTCCCTGCCATTCTCGCATATAATAGGAATATACATCTCAGGAAACAATAACCAACCTGAATCAACTCTTGGCACCTACGTGCCTTTCCGACAGGAGTCAACCATATGGTGACCTCAAGGAACGATTCCCTCGTATAAGTAAACTACAAACGCTATTGTCAAAAGACAAAGTACCGCCCACCCTTAACCTCCCATAGGTCGCTTGGCCAGGCGTCCGTTACCCCCAGGCCTGATGTCTATATATAACTCCGTCATACGCCAACCACGAAACAAAGCTTTAACACATGACCCGCGCTATCCCGATGGAAACCATCACCCACATATCCCATCCAAAGCACGCCAAAACCACAACCCAATTCACCCCCATCAATACCCCCCCACCTCATCCCCATCCCCATCCGAATCCGAATCCCACACCTCCACCGGCGGCGGCGCCATGCTCACCTCATCCACAAACAGACTATCCGGCGGCAACACCCCACCTTGCGACGACGAGAGCAGCAAGCCCGGGCGCGGGCGCGGGAGCAGGCTGGCGTGGTCGTCGTCGTCAGGCAGGCTAGGCAGCGACATGTCGTTGGACCCTGGCAAGGGGGGCCGGGGCACCGAGGGCGGGCCGGAGGACTTGTCGGGCGAGGAGACGGCCGAGATGTCGGAGGCGGTTGTGGCTTGGGAGGGGCGGATGGAGCGTTGGGAGGTGGATGAGGGGGGTCGGCGGGCTGTTGTTGTTCTGGCGGGCGTTGGTTGTCGGGGGGGTTTGGGGCGCGGGGTTGCCGCTGAGGTCTGGCTGCTCTGGTGGTCGCGGATCCGCGGGCTGGAGCGTGCCGGGATTGGCGGGCGGGTGAAGCTGCCGTTTGCCTTTTGGGCAGGGATGGGAGCTGACCGCGGCTGGGTCGGGCTCTGGCTCGCGGGGATGACATCTTCCTCCTCGTCGTGATGGTAAGCGGCGCGAGACGGCTTTTGCGTAGAGTGGAGAATGTCGCTGCGGAGCTGGTCCTCCAGTTCCTGCGAGATTGTTACACCTCCTTGGTCGATGTTGGTTAGAAAGTCACCACAGGAGAAGTCCTCCTCGTATTCCTCGCAGAAAAGCGGACATCTCAGATTTGCAAGCAACTGTCCCACAATCGCCGGAGGCAGGTACTTGTAACGCTGCGGCGGCCCGGCGCCCAGCCCATTGTCCTCCATGTCTGCTAGTGGCACCGGGTTATTGAGTTGATACACTTGTACAAGCTTGTGGGCGAACTTGTAGCCCGATGTGCCGGCGTTGAACTCGGCGTTGCCGACGCCGGTGCCAGCATCGATTTGACCCGGCTCTTTGGCAGGACCGAGAGTGGCCATGTATTTCACCTCGCCCGCAGGAAGGTCGGTATAGATCCAGCATCGGGAGACTTGGACCGGGAATTTGTAGTCGCGAAACTCATGGTCCCTGAGACCGTTTACGATACCCTCGACAATATCCGCGGGAAATACGGTGAGAATATCAGAGCGGTCTGTCTGTGGCCCAAGGGAGCGGATAACCTCCAACGGGATACGCTGGCTTTCGAGGCCCTGGCTGTAGAACTGAGACCGAGCTTGGGTATGCCGTTGGTAGATGGGCGACGATTTCTGCGGCTTTCGGGGAGTCTCCTTATAAACTTCACGGGAGGATGGCGGCGGCAGCTCGATCTGGACCCTCCGGACGGCCGGCGCTGGCGTGCCCCGAGTTGGGGTGCTCGGCGTCTCGGTGGTCAATGACTCTGAGTTGAGGTTGGGTGTCACCCCGCGCCTTTTCCGGCCATTGGCGCAGTGGTCTTTTTGTGAGGCCGCCTTCTTTAGGATTGACACTGGTATATGTTCCTCCTCAATCTGCTCCTCATCGGCCGGCTCTTCCTCGGCCTGATCTTCCTCGACCGGGTCTTCCTCGGCCTCACTTGCCGTTTCATCTGGATCCTCGAATTGGAGACTAGGCCTACGAGTCCGTGCATCCGACTTGCCCATGCTGCCGTAGAACTGCGATGCGAGGGGAGTCGACGGGGGTGAGCTGGACTGGTCGTCTTCCACCTCCACCGAGTCCTCGCGCAATGCCAGTTCGGTCAAAGGCTCGCGTGCAACCCCAGCTGATGTTCCTATGCTGCCATTATTTTCCGCCGAACCAGTCCAGAACTGTGAGGCCGTGTTAGGGCTGACCTGGCTAGTCCTGCTAGCGGCCTGCGATTTCCGGCCCGGCGTTGGGGTTGGCGTGCCCTCCCTCTCCTCCGCACCATAGTCCATATCTCTGTCCTCCCACATCCCGATAGCAGGTGTCCCGTTTTCCTTATCCGATTTGGCCGAGCTTACAGGAGTCTCCGAAATAGCAGTCCTCTGAGTTCGTGGAGCCGAGCCTGGATCTGCCGCTATTTCAAAGTTGTCCTGAATCACCTCCTGCTTTAGCGGCGTTTGTTGTGCAGGGCTCGTCTTGAAGGGCGTGGACGCGATGCCGTCCAATTCGTCGTCCGTATCCGGGATCTCGAAGAACATCCTCTTTCTCCTTGACGTGGGAGTCTCTCCGGCCGGGGTAGAACCGACACCAAGCTCGATGCTAGCCACTGGTATCTCACTTAACGGCTCGCGCGTGGATTGTTGCGTCTCCTCCTTTTTCGGTGTGTCGCCCGCCGCCGAGGACGGGAATCCCAAGCTGCTGCTGTCCCCCATGCTGTAACTATCCTGGATGGTCAAAGTCCGCGGTATTTTCGAAACTGTTTCTATCGTCGGCAACGGGGCATCGATATTAGTCGATTTCTGCGTCAGCGGCGACCTCATAGGCGCAAGCGGACTGTGACCCAACAGGGGTGTGAACGGCGTCGGTTGTGAGGCAGGAACCTCGTCAGGGTTGACCTTGATGCGTTTGTTGCTCGGGGTGCAGGGCTCGGGCGCCGCAGCCTTGCCTTTCCCTTTCCATCGCGGCACGGAGGACTGCTTAATAGGCGTCCTTCCCGACGGTAGCGAAACCTCCACATCCTCCTCATCATCCTCCACTCGTAGCCCATCATACTCCAACTTTGTCGCAGACGCCCCCATAAACTGGGTCAACGTCTGGGTATGAAAACTCGACCCCTTCTTCTCCAGCCTCGGCGTGGGTACATCGCCCATAGTTCTCCTCCTCTTAGACCTCCTCTCCGGCGCAGCCTTCTTAGCAACCACCTTGACCACCTCCATCTTCACATCCTCCTCCTCCTCCACCTCTTCCTCCCCCACCATCCCACCCCCCTCTCCCCCGGACTGCAACCCCTTCACCTCCTCCTCCCCCAACAACAACCCATCCCCATCCTCCACCCCCTCACCCACCCCCGACGACGATCTTACATAACCAACCTGCGTCAACGTCTGCTGCCTCAACCCCCCCCCTCATCCCCCTCCTCTTCGCCACAGCCGAGTCATTCGACCCCGGCGGCGTCGTTGTGGTCTCCAGCCGCGCAGGGAGTGAGCGGCGGCCGCCGTAGGTGCGCACGGTCTTGCGGCGCGCGGGGAAGGTGACTTGCTGGGGGACGGGGTGGGATTCGTAGGTTACGCGGGGGGTGGACGTTGGGGCGGTTGTGGAGGTGGTGTTCTTTTTGGTGGCGGTGCTGGAGTTGCTGGGGTTGGAGCTGGTGTCGGGGGTTGGGGCGGAGGTGCCGGCGGGGCGGCGGGGTGTTCGGCGAGGTGCCATTTCGTCGGTTTGTTCTTTGGCTTGTTGTGGGGGTCTCTTTTGGGGTTTGTTTATTTAAAGGTGAGTTTGGAATTGTGGCTTGTTGTTTTCGTGATCGTAGGTACGGTTGCCGCCAAGGTTGCTGTTGATGAATTGTGGTTCGAAGCCGTGTTGTTCGTATAGGTAATGGCAGTTCGTCATGGACAGAGTGAAAAAGGTGGCGATTACAGCTCAGATCGACAAAATATGCATGTGCAACAGAGATGTGCGACCGAGTGGGCTGGGGATTGAATTTGCGAAATGGGCAAGGTACGAGGTAAGTAATTAGTGTAATACGAAGCAGTTATGGAGATGGGGATTCAGTTTGGTTTGGCCTCCTCGGCCTAGTCAAAGTGCAGGGCGCGTCGGTCAACGCGTCGGTAAAGTGGGGCAACTTCGGCGCGCACCCCTCGCCTGCCTTCATTTAAATGATCTCAATCGCGCCAGCCCGGCGCCGCGAGGCATGACATCATCGGGGCCACCATCCCATCACCAAGTCTGCGCTGAAGAACTATGTGGCTATGTCTAGCTTTCATGGAGTTTAATAAAATCCCGTTTCAATCGAGTCCAATCCAAATTGATGACTCGGGTGGATTTTCATTGTTTATTTACTCTCTAGTAAACAAACAAAGCCAATAACTAGTCAATCGATCCCAGCTTGTCCATGAGTCTCCCATCGGCACTTGTTTAACCCCAACCCTGAGCTCCGTAGAGCCGCCACAATGACATCCGACCAAAGTAGCATATGACGAGGTTCAACTTGACCGTTTTGTGGGAATTACTCTCATGGGCCATACTAGTAGAATACTTCTTATATAAATTATCTCCACAGGAGCATGCTTCTTCCGATCACAAAGACTTAAGGCCCTATTTTGTCCATTAACGTTCACATCCGGAGTTGGCAGCAGAGCCCCATACCTGAGCACTTGAGATTCCTTGTTCCGATACTGTAGCCTCAAAATATTCTAAGCCCATGATAATTGTATCATAAGTTTTGCATTGCGAGGTTGCCGAGAAAGAAAGACGACCCTGTCCAGTCCAAACAAAATAACACTAAGTATACCACCCTCCCCATCATGCTTTTTCCCCTCCGTGTCCCCCAACCGTCCTCCCTCAAGATAGGTGGAACGCACCCTGTCCCTCCTTGACCGCTGTAAAGAGCTGCTTTCGCAAGATACCAATGTCCGAATAGTCGGGTAGCTTGAGGTAGTTGACACACGTCATGACGCTGGGGAGGTAGTCGTCCGACGTGTAGGGTGCCTCGCTGGGTTTGCAAACCACCGTGAACATGGGTGTGAGCTTTTTGAAGCCTGTTTAAAACGGTCCGTTAGTTACCACGCCAAACATACGAAGTGGAAGGGGAGAACATACCACCAATGGGAAGCTTCGGGCTGCCCGTCGTGAACTGAAGGAAATCGCGGCGCTGGGCCGCAGTAAACTCGCTCATCGCCTGTAGCAAGTTCCTCACCGTCTTGCTGTCCATATTGTACCCGTGGTCGGCCTTGACCGAGTCCATCAGGGCTAGACACAAAAAGTTAGTCCTGGCCCATAATTCATCAAACGAAGAGAAATAGGTTGCTTACTCTCAAGTGACCAATCCTCGTCCACCCGTCCAAATAACGTGCACAACTCATCCGGCGTGAAGGCGCTCAATGCCGAGTACGGGAACACCTGTGAGAAGCCGGCCTGGAATGCATCCACCTGCCGGCGGACTCCGGACCCCAGAGTCATGTCGATTACCTTCTCGAGATAGAGGTCAACATTGTCGATGGTCACCTGGGTCTGAGCCCCCTCGGGAATAAGTTCGATCTCGGGGTAGCCCGGTAGGGTGAAGTCGAGGTACAAATCGTCAATTCGGATCTTGTCGACCACGATATTCTCCGTATCGGTGACCTTCTGTGCCGCGCTGCGATTTGGGTCCTCGTCGATCGCCTTCTTCGCCAGCGCGAACTTCTTTACGATCATGAGCGATCTCGCAACCATAGGGTCGACCGACTTGATCGCACCCAGAGACGGGCGAACAGCCGTAAGCTCGGCGCCTATGCGGAAGAAGATGGGATTAAAGTTCACATCGATAATCCGCGAATCGATCATAGACCGCGCAACGAACTTGCCCAGCATCTTGTAAAGCTGAAGAATCTTTTCCCCTTCCTCCGAAGCGGCGAATGTCTCGCTCAGCGGCCGAGGGAAGAGCCCATTCGGCCCAAAGACGAACTCGTCATCCCCGTTGGGATCATTGTCGCGCCACAGCTTGAGCTTCTTCTTGCAGAACTCCTTGGAAACAGTCGAGTAGAACTCCAGGGTGGGTCCGAGTCCTGTGCCGACTTCATCAAAGTATTCGACTTCCAGGATGCTTTGCGAAGCACCATAAAGTTCCATAACTTTCACGGCCGACTCTAGAATTTTGGCCCGAGAGATCCGGACCTTCTGACGTTGCAGGCGGCCAAGGAACGGCCTTTCATCTCGCCGGTCTCGCCGGGCCTCCTCCTGAGATTGAGCGTTTTGCCAGCGGCTCATAGATCTGGCGTAACCAAAAGAGGTTGACTGTAGGAAAAGATGGCGCGTCTCAAACGGGAACAAGAAGGGATAAAGCCTCGCAAGGTCTTCGCTCCAACTCGGGAGGCAGTTGCTCGCTACGATCAGCGGCTCCTCTAGCTGCCGGTTCAACTTGGCGGTAAGTTTGGTGTTGACGAACTGCGACAGAGGCTCAACGTTGACCTTGAGAGTCTCCTTGTTCTCGACTAGGACATCGTCGATATTGGCGTTGAGATCATGTAGTTTCTTCAGCAGGCGCAGAATGGACGCTGTGACCGGGGATTTGGCCAAGGACCCGGGAGTGTTGCCATCCTCAGAATCCGCGCCTAGGTCAGACGGGTTACCAAAGGCAGCAGATTCTGCCGGGGGCGGACCGGGCACCCGCCTGAACTTGATAGAATGCACAGACGACCAGACGGTGCGACCATAATGGTCATTGGTTTTCTGCGTAGAGTTATGAACGGCACGGTAGATCGTCGTCTCATTAGGGACAACCTTGCCGTCAATGCTGAATTCCAGGTGCCAGTCTTGCGGGGTCTGGACCGCAGCCGCATATGACATCGGCCGTGAAGACCCGGCAGGCGTTGGGGTTCCGAGTAGAGCTGCGGTCAGCGCGCTCGAACGGTTGGGGAGCGAGGCTGTGGACCGGCTCTGACTCTGAGATGGCGTGGGCACTCTAGTACCATCGTCCTTGCGCGCCGTCACCTTACCTCCAGCAACAAACTCTAGGTTCACGGCGGAGGGATCGGGCGTCGGGGCGTCCTCCATACCCTCGTCAACGTCCGGGACCATATCCAGGGCGTCATCATCCCCCATCTCCTCGTCATCCGAGAGCTGCCTCTCATCAGCGCACTCGAGAGTGTTCTCAAGGTCATTTTCATTGTCCGCCGGCGGAGGCGGGGGCGGAGGCGTTTCCTCCGACACTGCTTGGCGGCGAGAGGACCGGCGCAGTGTGGTCTTTTCCTTTGAGGATGAAGGTTCTGGTGTCACCGGGGTGTCAGTGACAGGATCTGATTTGGACTTAGTTTTCCGCGTCGAACGTGAGCCTGATGGCTGCGATGATGCGGGCGCCGGAGGTGGAGCAGGCGCCGGAGCCAAACTGTTGGACAACGACCGTTCCATAAGCCGGGCCGCCGCTGCGCTCATGGGAAGGCCCGAGCTGGCCATCGCAGCTAGCGCTCTCGAGACTGCCTCTCGCTTAGGTCCGCGAGGGCGATCTGAGAGGCTGATCCTGGGCCTCAAATAATCATCTAGGGACTTGAAGGTAGTAATGGCGTGGATCGAGACCATGATGTTCCGATAATGCCGAGGAATGTCCGAGTCATCGTCAGCTACCAGTTTGAGCCGCAGCTGCTTTGCTAGCATGGAAGTTGCACTGCTCCGATTGCTATCAAACGATTGGTGATGAACGGTAAGAACCTCAAAGTGTTCGGACCTGCTAAGCAAGTCCTGGAGCTTGTGGATCATGATACTGAGGGGGGTCGAGGGAGAATCGGCCGTAGCGGTCTTCGGCTTCGACTTGACGGTGTATCCCATAAAAACTTGGAGGAACGCTGTCTGCGCCGCGACGGCGAGCTGCTCGTCCGGGTTGCCCATAACCTCTTCCAAAACGCGGACGACACCAGATGCGAGCAGTTCAGCGCTTGTGACACTCTTTAGCACGTCCGAGTCGAAGTAAGACGCCAAGCTCTTAAAGAGTTCGGTGCCTCTCTCAAGCGCGAGTTGAGACGAGAAGGTACGGTGAAGGTAGAAGTTCTCAATCTCAGACGCCAAAGTTGACAGACGGTCAAGAATTTCCGTGGCCTTCTTCTTCATGGACTTCCCCTCTTCCTCATTTTCGTGGACCTCAAGGAAATTCTTAGCACGTTCAATAATCCTCGTCTTCATCGAGGGGAGGTCCGAGGGGAGGCGAGGGGGAGGCCCAGAAGTAGACATGGTGGAGCCCCCGGAGCTAACTGGAGACGCCGACATATCCCGATTCTGATCATCCTCTTGACCGTTCTCGTTATCCTCGTTATTTTCGTCGTCGTCATCATCATCATCGTCATCGTCGTCCTCGTCGTCTTCCGAAGAATCGTGGGACTCGTCATCATCTTCGTCGAGTTCCTCATTCTCTTCCTGTCCAGCTTCAGCTCCATGATGCTCGGCATGGTCGCCGGCGAGCTCTGCCGAGGACCTATCCGACGCCGGCTCAACCTCCGGCCCAGCTTCCGGCTCAGCCTCCGGCTCGGCATCCGTCTCCGGCTCATCCTCTGACTCTTGAGCTTCGTTGGTCGACGGCTTCCGTTCCGCTTCCTGTGCTAGCTCCGGCTGTGGCTCCGGCTCCGGGTCCTGGGTCGCCAGCTTCGTAATCTCGGCGATCACACCCTCGCGGTGAAGTTGATACCGGTATACGGTGCCCAACCGCCTCATGAGCAAGTCAGCAGCCGTTACTGCAGAAAGGACAAGGGAGGGATGATCTTGTTGAGAAATGATGGAAGCCAGGAAGGAGGCGTAGGAGACGGATTTCAGGGCATCAACAAGGATGTCTTCGTCCAGGTTTGAAAGCATCTTGAGTTGAGCCGTCAGCACCTTTTGGCGGACACTCAGATTGACGGTACTCGAATAGGCATCGGTGAGCGTGGGGAAGAGGATCATGCAAAACCGCCGAACCTCCTCTTTACAGCCCTCCAGAAGCTCGATACGCTTTTCGTTTGTGGTCTTTCTACGAGAACCGAGGGAGGAAGGTGTGGTCGGTTCAGCTGGTGGGCAGATCTCAGGGAGGTCGTATGAGGCGGGATCGGCTGACTTTGGTAAATCCGGAAGAAGCTCGCAAATGACGTTGAGTGTCTCGATGATCTGGTCTCGCGGGCGGTGGATGAGCGCCTGCATGATAAGAACGCTGTCAAGCTTCGAAGCGATGTCATCGTGGCCGCCCGGGGGGGACACGCCTGTCAGAATCTGATAAAGCGTCTCCACCACGTTCATCTTGAACAGCTCAGCTGACAAGCGAGGGCTCGCCCGTGCGGCAAAGGCAAGGATCCGGAGGAACTGCGTATGGATGTGCGCGCCGATCAGATTGGTGCTACCCGGGACAAGTAGGCGAAGAATGGCCTTGAGCAGGTCGACACTGACGAGCTCCTCCAACTTTGACGGGTGAAACCGGAAACTCTCAACGATGCGGGTGACGCAAAGAGAGCCCTTCTCCACGACCTTCTGGTCGCTGCTCCCGAGAACATTCAGTAGAATTGGCATGACATCTCGAACGACGGGGAAGCTTTCTTGGTCGAGATTCTGACAACAGTTGGCGGCGGTGGTGACGGCGACACGCTGCGTGCTTGTAGCGAAAAACTCTAGGTAGGAGAGGCAGGCAGTCAGACCGCCTTCGCGGACAATACTGGAGGGGTATTCGATCGAGATCTTCTCCAAGGTGCTGAGCGCTTGCTCGGCCAAGTCGATGAACGAAATCTCGAGCAACTTCTGGCACAGAATAGGGACGGCATGGCCGTAGACGACATTCGAAGTGCTGGCTGGCAGGGCTTCCATGAGGTTGGCAAGACAGCGGCATGCCAGGAGCATAATCTCTGGATTCTCCTCCCCCGTGAGCTCGTTTGGTTGCATCAAGCCTACCAGCTCCTTCACGAATGCATCAGGCGAGAAGTGCCCCGAGAGGGTATCCTCGTTGTGGATAAGCAAAAGCTCCGAAAGCTCCTGCAGCGCGATTAGCTGCATTGTGGGGTCCTCCTTCTGTCGGAGGTTGTGCAAAATATCCCTAAGTCTTGAAGACGTGCCCGACACCATGCCAGTTAGTGTTCGGAGGGTGTTGGTTAGACCCGGAACCGCACCCCCAGCGGCGCCAAAGCTTCCAAAAGGATCGCCGGCGTCGTCTTCGTCGTCGTACCGTTGTTGGGCCTCCTCGTCCTCGTCATTGTCGTCACTATCTTCTGGGAAGCTATCCTCAGGAGGCGGGGGCGGGGGCGGGGCTTCGGATGCCTTGTCATGTTCTTCAGTGCCGCCCATAACCACGTCTTGATCCTGGGCGGCGTTGGACCCCCTCTTTGATCGTCGACTCGAGGTAGAAGCGGGGGCGGACGGTTCTGCTAGAGATGGCCGGGTAAGACTAGAACAAGGGCGAGGCGGAATCGGCAAATACATACCTCGTGTCTGCACAGGCTTTTTATTGCGGCTGGATCGCCGACTAGACGATGCCGTTGACGGGTTCTCGGGGTGCTGCGCGGGGCCTGCCGGCGTTCTATGTGGGTCTCAGCATCTTAAAGTTGAATGGCACGAGATGTAACTGGATCCAACATACCCTGGGCTCGACATGGTCGCGAGGTCTTTGCCCTTCCGGCGGGAAGTTGAGGTCAATTCCGGAGCGGGAGGTGGTTGCGGCTGTGGGGATGCTTGTGCCACGCGCGGTCGCTTGGGCCTGCGGGATGACGAAGGCGATTCGGCGGCGCCCTGGGCGGGGCTAATATTGGTCTTTCGTTTCCGAGCGCTCGCTGCCGGCTTTGGCGTCGGTGGGGTTGGCGGGGGAGGTGGCGCGGAGGAGAGAGTGGCGGCTCCCGTAGTCGTGGTTGAGGAAGACGCCGCTGCGGCTGCTTGGCTCGCTGCTTGACGGGCGGACGAGCGGGTGACCCTGGACGACATGAGTAAATATGAGTTCAAAACCTGCTTGTCATGGAGTCGACAGCAGGGAGGAGAAACAAAGTAGTTTTAGGAAAGGTCGCCGAGGTCGAGGACATCAAAGAATTTTGTGGGCAGTTGCAAGGGAGATCGCGATTGAATGGCCGCCTGCGGAACAGAACCATTGATTGCCCAAGATTGTGGGGCAGATTGAAGATCGAGCCGAGTTCCTTGCATGCGTCACAGCCCAAAACCGAGCACGAGACCAAACCACCAAGAGACGAGAGAAGACTTTATGTCGCTGTTCTCTTTTATTCTTCCTTTTTATCTTTGCATCAGTCTTCCGACACGGCAGGCAGGCGCTGGGTTGCAAGATGCAGCGCGATGTGGTGTCTGGTCTTCGATCGATCGCTCGGCTGGGCACGGTGGAGGTAGGCAACAAGGTGGGAGGTTGACAGAACGCAGGTGCAGCACTGAACAGAAAAGAAAGCATTAGGAAATGGATGGGGTGGGTTGTACCTTGGGGAAGGAGGAGGTAGCGACGATAACGACGATGTGTGAAAGGCAGTCACGGCTGGTGACGATGATGGTGGGAGAGGCAGGCGCGCTAGGTCGTTCTCGAGAGCCGATCTGGACCGCAGGTTTGCAGTACGTCGTTCTGCCATGGATTACGCCATCGGGAGGCAGGCAGGCGGTGGTTCGGATGGCAGGCGACTTGGAGGAAAATACGGTTTACTCATCGAACGGTGGTTTTTGTTGGGTATGGAGCGGTAGTTGCTTGGTGATGGGCTCGAAGATGGCGGCAGGGCAACTTCAGGCAGAGGTGGTTGGCTGGTGGGGATACTTGAGCAATGATGAGCGAAATGCTGCGTTGGACAAGCCGCTTGATGTCAGCGCATTTGGTTGGCGGTTGTTCCGGCGGGATTCCCGTGCCGGCTTCGGCCAAGTGATAACGGCATGGGTGGCACGGACTGGGTGGAAAGGGTCTCCGAGCTCCATCTCCCAAAATCATTTGTCACCCTCTCTTTCAAGAGCCACCTCGGAGGACTCAGCAAATAGATAACCAAATATCTAGGTACCTATGTTACGGAAAGCTCTCACAATTGCAGATTCAATTTCGGGAGTGAAAGGTAACAAATAGAATACTATCGCTGTGGATCACACGCAAAGCTTTGATTTTGGTTTAGTAAATCAGTTCAGAAGCCATGATGGAATCATACGGGTTGAGGAAACAAAATCAACTTCATCGACACCCAAGCGGCCAGTGATTCCCGCAAGACCGAGACTAGGCCAATGTAATGCATCAGGTTGGGTTTCAGTCACTTCTCGAGGGCAGAAACAAGCCACCGCGAAACTGCCGGTCTCAAATAGGTGCTTGAACAAACAAGGGCAACAATCTCCCAATATAAGCTACGCCGGGAAAGAGGCGGGATATCAGAAAGTGTATTGTATTGAGAGCAGTTATTAGGGTCTATCGTGGAAACTCGATCGAGTGTCAAGCGTCGCTTGAATATGGCTGCACATGGCCATAAACGCAAATAGATACCTAGATTCAAACCTAAGAAGCTAGCTAGGTACTTCCCTCGCTCCGTAGTACCAGCAGCTGCTCCCACTTGTCTCCTGAAGACCGCAGTTTTTTTAACTTTGAGCAAGTGTATTGTTTAGCCTGGATTTCTAACATTCAGAACAGTATGGACGCCTAATACCAATGGGCTCACAATGCTATTTTGGGAGTTCGTTCTTGATACAAAGTTTGGTTACTCCCTCCGTTTGAGATACTCGGTCATAGTTTTGTAACTTCCGTTGTATTTTTAGATAGAGTCCGAGTCCCATTATGCCATGCAAGCAACCGTTCCTGCAGCCAGGGTTGCATAAACTTGGAAGTGAGGCCCTCAGGCTTTTATTGTGAAATGCGTATCTGGGCTTCAGCTGGAGGAAGTGGAAGTTGATTCACTCCTGGATGAGCATCGGAGCATATCTAAGGTAGCAGAACAATGCTCTTCCCCGATGCCACTTTGACACCCATAGAAGTAAGAGGTGTGGAATAGGCGACTAAGTGCCAGTTATACCTAGTGGCTGCTACTCTGCACGCGGAATGCGGTATGTAGCTGGAGGTCCATGGTTCGAACAACATTCTGACCGTACTTCTTCGGTCGTAACCGGCATTGCATACCTCGCCATCCCAGCGTCGCCGAAAGCCGAAAGGAATTCAGGTCGCTATCGTTGGATTATGAAAAGTGTTTTGAGCCGGAAAAACGGTGATGTGCGTTGGCCGCCCTTGTGGGTAAAGCCCCAGGCGCTGTGTGACACCAAGACGATGTGGAACGATAAGAAAAAAAAAAATAAGAAAAAGAAACGAACAATAGGTAGCTTTGACTTCGTCTTGTTTGCTAATTGCTCCCCGCCACGTTCGCGCACCCAAGAACACAACGGAGTTGCGAGATGAAATGGATAGTCTAGGCCCACCAAATGTGTTTTTCCTCCGATGAAAGACGGTTGACCTCGCTCCAAGTTTCGCATGGGCCTATACTGTGTACTGCTGCACTGTGTATTGGACACCCTTGCGTACCACCCTTCCCTCGAGCTGTTCTGTATCAGCAAGGGACCGCGGATGCCAAGCTCACCGAGGTAAGATTTCGTGGAGAACCCCGGACAAAACCCCTGAACGCCAAGACCCCGCGAAATGCAACGGCTTCCGTCGGCACAAGTGACGTCGTTTACCCCCGGAACACCGCCAGCTGACCTCGCTCCCCTCGTCCCGAGGGACCATGTCCTGTTTTCCATTCAATTGAAGGGCAATGGAATGAAATCCTAGAATCTTCCACAATTTCCAACCCTTCCTCATCCGATTCACCCCCCTCGCCGCCCAAGAATGAAGAGAATGCGCCTATCTCGCCCTCATGGGGCGTTCTTGCGCCTTGGAGGATCCCAATTCTCTCCTCTAGCCCTACTCACCTCCTCATCGTCTGGGTTCCCAGCCCTTCACCGCAACCATGACCACTACCAACGACAACAACCCCGCCGCCATGCCGGGTCCATCTCGCAGCGCCCAGACTCCAAGCATGTCATGTTCCCCGGGGCGGTCAAGTCGGCCTTCAGCAGCAGCATGCAGTTCGAGCAACCGGCGAGCTACCCAGCGCTGCCGACGTACCGGGCGATCGACCAGAACGGCGTGGCCGTCGACCCAAACTTCGAGCCCGACCTCAGCGACGAGGAGGTGGTGAAGCTGTACCGCGATATGCTGACCGTGTCCGTCATGGACCTGATCATGTTCGACGCGCAGCGCCAGGGCCGCCTGAGCTTCTACATGGTGTCCGCCGGCGAGGAGGCCGTTTCCGTGGCGACCGCGTCCGCGCTCGAGAAGGAGGATGTCATATTCTGCCAGTACCGCGAGCAGGGTGTGTTTAAGCAGCGCGGGTTCACCCTCACCGACTTTATGAACCAGCTGTTTGCGAACCACAAGGATCCGGGGAAGGGTAGGAATATGCCGGTTCACTACGGCAGCCGGGAGTTGAATATTGTGGGTGGACTCCTGCCGAGCACAAACAGTGGTTCAAGATATGCTGACTGACCTCAACACAGCACACCATCTCTTCGCCCCTTGCGACGCAGCTCCCTCAGGCTTCCGGGGCGGCGTATGCCCTCAAAATCCAGCGGATGCAGGACCCCAGCATACCGCCGAGGGTAGTAGCGGCATATTTTGGCGAGGGTGCAGCCAGCGAGGGTGACTTCCACGCGGCATTGAACATCGCCGCGACTCGATCCTGCCCAGTCATCTTCGTCTGCCGCAACAACGGATATGCCATTTCGACGCCCACGCTAGAACAGTACCGTGGCGACGGTATTGCCAGCCGCGGTCTGGGTTATGGAATCGAAACGATTCGAGTGGACGGTAATGACTTCTGGGCCGTCCGCGAGGTGATGAAGAAGGCGCGCGAGATCGCCCTGCAAGACGGTGGTAGACCCGTCCTGATCGAGGCCATGACCTACCGTGTGAGCCACCACAGCACATCGGATGACTCATTTGCCTACCGTGCCAAGGTGGAGGTGGAGGACTGGAAGAGGCGGGACAACCCGATCGCGAGGCTGCGCAAGTGGATGGAGGCCAAAGGGTGCTGGGACGAGCACAAGGAGAAGGAGGCCCGCGAGAGTATCAGGCGAGATGTGCTCAAGGCATTTTCGGAAGCCGAGCGCGAGAAGAAACCGCCGGTCCGGACCATGTTTGAGGACGTGTATGAAGAGCTGACCCCGGACCTGCAGCAGCAGATGAAGGAGTTGAAGAGCCAGCTAGAGAGATACCCTGATGAGTATGACCTTGGGGAGTTTGTGGGCGGGAAGGAAAGTCTAGACAAATAGTGAGCGAGCGACGCGCGAATTCATCTGGTTCTTAGCCGACCTTTGGTTTTTTGTCGACGTTGCCAGGTCCTGCATTGTGTTGCGCCCACAAACCCCATCGCCGGGCAACCTGAGCAACCGATTTGTGCAACTGCGACAACTGAACTGTGTACCTCCCACAGGATCCCAATCACACTCCGCATCAATCCAAACAAACCACCAACACAAGCCTACCTTTCATTTATTTGAGCAACATGACAAACGAAAGCCGCATTGTCATCGCCGTGCTCTGCGTCTTGAGCATCAGCGCGCTTCTCGCTGTTCTCGGCATCAAGTACGTCCGGGCTGCCACTGGTGCTATGGTGAAGTCGCGCGAGGATCGAGACGCTGAGGCCCAATAAACCAGGTACGTACTACCTCTCCCCAGACCGGCGGTAGATCGGTAGTATTGTTGGAGATGCGAGCGCAACGGGAACGAGAAAGCTTGAAGATCCACCCCACCATTACACCCCCTGGCGCGCATCTTAACCCCGCAATCAGGGCTGAAACACGCAGGCCATTGGGTTCCGGGTTGTCAAGCCACATGCGACAGCCACATCTCCCGGGCCGACCCGATTTTTCGAGGCAAGCAAGCGCATGCATGAACTGATCCCGAACTCTTCTAGATCTAATCCCGGAGCTGTGTCGGTGCCGTGAACCTGCTCAACATGGCAGCCCGAACAGCCCTCAGGAGAGCGCTCCGCCCCGTACGGAGCAGCGCCTTTACACATTCCGAGCAACAATTACGATTTACACGACCCTTCTCAACAACCCTCCCCTCCCGCGCGGCACCGAATACAACCAATGCCCCCGACTATGCCGTTCCCGATCCGTCCAGGCCAACCCACTTTGGGTTTGAGACCGTAACAGAAGGCGAGAAGCGCGAACGTGTGGCCGGCGTCTTTACGAGCGTCGCAGAGTCGTACGACCGCATGAACGACCTGATGTCCTTTGGCTGGCACCGAGTGTGGAAGTGCGTTTACACAGCCCCCTCTTCCCAGTAACCATATTTCCGCTAACCACGGCTCCCCACCCCCCACACAGAGACCATTTCGTCGCCTCCCTCAACCCAGGCTTCTCCCCCCTAACCGCGGGCCCTGACCCCCGCGGACCACAACACATTCTCGACATCGCCGGCGGAACCGGGGACATCGCCTTCCGGATGCTGCGCACGGCCCACGAGCTGAACGGCAACACCGACGTGCGCGTAACCATCTCCGACATCAATCGCGCCATGCTCACGGTCGGCAAGCAGCGCGCCGAATCCCTTCCCGCCTCCCACCAAGCCGCGCTCTCCTTCGTCGAAGCCAACGCCGAGAACCTCACCCAAACCCGCCCCTTACACGCCTACCCCTCCGCCGTCGAACCCACCACCCACGACGCCCACGGCAACAGCGAGCAAGCCTTCTTCGACCCAGCCACCGCCACCGGCAGCATCCCCTCCTCCTCCGTCGACCTCTACACGGTCGCCTTCGGCATCCGCAACTTCAGCAACATCCCCGCGGCGCTGCGGGAAGCCCACCGGGTGCTCAAACCCGGCGGGGTATTCGCGTGCCTGGAGTTCAGCAAAGCGACACGGTTCCCGGTGTTCAACGCGCTGTACAAGGAGTGGTCGTTCCGGGCGATCCCGCTGATCGGGCAGCTGGTGGCGGCGGACCGCGACAGCTACCAGTACCTGGTGGAGAGCATCGAGCGGTTCCCGAGCCAGGGCGAGTTCCGCGACATGATTGTGGATGCGGGGTTTGTGGTGGCGGGCCAGGGGTACGAGGACTTGACGGGCGGGGTGGCGGCGATTCATAAGGGCATGAAGCCGCGGGCTTGATGTGATGGTGATGATGTATGCGCGTGGTCTAGCAGTGTAAGAGGGGCGCGGCTGGTGCGTAATAGCATGGCGGAGGCTTGTTTGTGTACATGTACGATGATTGTGTGTACCATAACATAAAACTAGATCTGGGCGTTCCGCTCATCTCCTTTAAATGGGGCGTGGGATTTGATGATTTGCGGCGCACACTTGAAATGACCCTAGCATTACAGATAACAGCCCGACAGTTTCGGCAAGGCTTCGATGGTGAAACCACATGCGGTTTATTTGATGGCATGGAACTCGGGGAGACCAGGAGGCAAGACCACACCCACATACGCACAAAAACACACACAAACAAAATGATGGCACTCGCAAGCGAATATTCACGACCAACTACCATTCCAGCAGAAGTACCAGATAGATACCGCTGCCTCGCTGAAGCTACCACTACCTCCCCCAGTGGGGCGTGACAGTGGTTTGCATTGTAGTGTACCGGGCGTACGAGGACTAGAAAACAGTTCAAGAGGCAACCAACCAACGACCAACGGATCTCTAAAACTCCACCACCTTCCGTTCCCCAAGCGCAGTTCCAGAAAAATCAAGAGTCACGGAGATCTTTGCTTCTTTTCCGAACCGCCTTCCCCGTTGTTGTTTATTATCTCCGAAGCCAAGCAAAGAAGAAGCGAGCCCAATCCATCCAGGTTCCGCCCTTCCGGAAGAAAAAGAAAAAAAAAAAACAAAGTTGGCTGCTTGACAGGCTAGCCGAATATCATCACAGTGAAATGGTGTCGTTGGTGGGATTTTTGTGTTGGTAGAACCGAGCCAGATTTGTTGCGCGTCGTATTGGATTCGTTGGGGTTGATGCCCCCTGGATGATCGGCAATTGTCGTCGTCAGCAAGTTGATACAAATTGACGATGGCGAGTGGGCGCCTCGCTGCTACCAGCCAGCCGTCGAGAAGCCGGACGCCGCACCAGCTTCAGACTGCCCCCCCTAGGACCCTAGGAGTCAACCGGAGGAGCAGACCCAGCGCCCTCATTCTTGGCGCCGCCTCGCGGGCCCCTTCCCCGCCCACGCTCGCCGCCGCGACCGCCACGGCCACCGCGGCCACCGCGGCGCCCGGCACCTTCGCTGTCACTAGCACCTCCGCCGCCGGCACTGCGGTAGCCGCTCTGCGAGTTGCTGCCATCTCTGCCGCCACGGCTACTACCCCAGTTGCCAGCGCCACCACGTGAGAATTGCTGGCGCGGCGGAGGAGGCGAGAAGATCTTGACTAGCGGCCTGGAGCGGTCCTCCTGACCAGAGGGGCGATTCTTGACGTCGTCGGGAAGACGCTCCATGGCAGCGTCCCGGTCTTCGACCGTTTTGAACTGGGCCACCTTGTTGTTAACGCCCCACCGTTCAATTTTGGTGATCTTGGGCTTATCCTCTTCGGAGAACAAGTCTCTGACTTGGTCATCGCTCTGTGCGTTCATAACGAAGAGACCGATGATGTTGTCAGCCGGATTCTTGGGGGCTGGGGCTGCATCGGGTGCGCTGGCAGCGCCGTTGGCGGAAGCCGGTGCCGCTTTCTCCTCCCGAGGCGCCGGTGAAGCAGCCGGCGGGGGCTGGGGCGTGGCTGGCTTCGTTTGTGCGGGGGCTGGTGCGGGCACAGGGGCGGCGACCTTCGGCTGGGTGACGGGACTGGCGGCCGGCGGTGCAGAAGGGCCTGTGTGGATGACCGGGCTGCTGCCGGAAGCGATGGGTGCAGGTTGGACACCAGGCTGCTGCTTCGCGCCACGGTGAGAGAAGTTGAATCCCTGAGCCCTCATCTCGGTTCCTATTCTGCCGTCCTGGATTTCTAGGACAAGCCAGCCAAAGGCAGCATCTGCGAGGTTGAAGTTCCACATGTTTTTGAAGGCGCTCTCGTCAATTTGGCCGAGCGCTGCGGGAGACTGGCCCGCAGGCGTGCCGCCAAATGGGTTCCCACCTGCCGCAGTGGTAGGCATCTTCTCAACCACTGCCAGAGCATTTTTCAACAGGGTCTGTTGGGCTTCAACTTGGCTGATCGCCGGCTCGACTTCAGCCTTGACCGTGTCCCAAACATCGTTGAAGGACGCCTTGGAGGCGGCGAGCTTGCCGCGGTAATGATCCAGGGTAGGGTTAACACTGAACTCGTTGTACGAGCTTCCATACCTGAAATGCAACCCGGCGGAGATGGAGAAGTCGGCTTTCAGAGTCACCGACAGTTGGTTCAGGATGCCCTCGCGCGCGGGGGACGCGTGCGTAATGAAGATGCGAGTCTCGGTGGGATCGTAAACGCGGTTTGCCGTGTCAACGAGTTCGCCCATCTGCAACAAAGTTGTCCACATGGTACCCTGGCCGCCAGCAATCGTCGTCCGTCCCTCGCCGTTGTCAAAGAGCTTGTGCATAACGACGGCGCCGCCCAATCCGAGAAGCCGGAGCTTCACACCGCCAATTTCCAGCAACATAGACTGTGCCTCGTCGATGATGAAAAGGTTGGGAACCTTGTACTCCTTGGATCGGAACTTCTCCAGCACCCGCACATCCTCACAGGCGCCCCATACCGTGTAGACGGGTACCTCGAGCTTCAGCTCTCCCCTGATAAGTTGTGGCAGTTCCGATAGCGGCAGTTCGCTTGGCGGAAACCGGCCCTTTACAGTGCCCTGGGCGCCTTGCACGATGGCCTTCTTGGTGGCGTCCGCGATGAGGGGGGAGTATTGGGCGACATGCTTCAAGGTCCTGTCGCGACAACAGTCAGCGTGGGTCGCGGCCAGACGTCTAAGTCAACTCACTTTTCAGCAATGCGCTCGAGGGATGTCTCGTCGTAGAAGCCGAAATCGCCGGTGTGGATGATGTAGTCCGCACGAGCCGAGCGGGCGAGGTCGTTGAGGGAGCGGAGGTTGCCTGTGAATCCGTCGTCAATAAAGGGAGGCTGCGCGGTTTGGGCACTGCTGGGTATTCGCACCTCGCACATCGGCAATGCAGAGTACTCTGATGGGACCGCTCTGGATAACACGGCCTTGGTTCGGAAGCAGAGGGGTGGCGCCAGGAACCGGGCCGCTAGCGCCGTTAGGCAGATAGCCCTGGTTATAGGGGGTCGGACGAGGTTGCTGGCGGGGAGAGGTTAGTCTTAACGGTCCGTGTACTTTAAAAGTTGAGGCTGTAGAGGGCTTGGAGGACATATCGGCGCTATTATGCGATAAAATCGATGAAGAAGAATGAATCGAGGCGGGGGATATATCGAGCTGGCAAGAGGGTGGGATGACGGTGTTTTGCGGGGATGCTGCGTAAAAACTTACAGATGCCATCCCGCCTGTTGATCTGGTACGCGATTCGAAGCAAGGTAGGCTAGAAAGTCGAAGGGAAAGAAGGAGCTCTCTGTTGTTGACGGTGGGATCAGCAGAGGCTGAGAATGGAGGAGGCGCGACCGATGTTCGTAAATTCAACCGAAGCTAGCGCAGCCGAGACGGGTATCAAAAAACGTAAAGAACAAGAAAGTGCTCCCGAGGCAACGGCCAATAGAGCAGATCGCGGCAGAGGCGATGTTTTGTTGAGGGAAGAAGGGAGTAGGTGGTGATTACGTCGGTCGTGGCTGAAGTTTTTCGAAAAGTTGAGGTTGCCCAGCGCTGCGAATCTTTGAATGGCTGAAGTGCAACTGCGGCGGTGGCAGCTCTGCGTGCACGACAAGGGGAGGTCCGCTGGTGGGCCCTGTCGAGCTTAGCGTAAAAATACAGACCCCACCAGCCAAGCGGGGGACCACTGACCCAGCGACAAAACATCGCATGTGGATGCTTTTGATGATTCACTCCGGTCAGTCTCTCCGCCCTTGAAAAGAGGGTAACGAGCGAGGCAGCTGAGCACGCTGTGTAGCTAAACATTTATTGCCAACGATTAGAGAAGCCAACCACAGTTTGCCCAAGCATGCTAGCCACGATGCTATCACTATTCGAACATAAAACCTGCCAGTCGTGGATCGGCACTCCATGGACAAAGGAGCCGAAACTCAAAGTGTGCATCACGTCAAAATGTTGACCAAACCTCGATTGTAGCAACAAAACGAAAGTGATTTAGCCCAAAGGAACTGTGCTTCGCTCCATTTCCAGTTTTTACTCGATTTCATTTTTATCATTTAATTCCTTTTACTCGGTCTATTATTTTACACGTTTTTCTTTCCTTTCACTCGATTTCCCTTTTCTGATTCCTTTTGCTCGATTTGGCAACAGCAAGTTTGGTTTGTTTTAAGTTTGTTTTTTGAGCGGGGATTAGGCCGCAAAAGGCATCATCATTCAGCTTTACCCCCTAACATCCCCATCACCAACGGATTTTTGTCAGTCCTAAGTCATTAACCCTCGCCGCCGACAGCGATAAGCACAATGACGAACAGAAATCAAGTCCAGTCTGCGTGGAAGATCATCCCACACTTCCGCTCCGACAATATCCAAGCCACGGTCGACTTCTACACCCAAGTGCTCGGTTTCACGGTCGGCGGTGTCCACACGGATGGACAGTCGGGCCAACAGACATTCTGCTCGCTCTACGCGGGCGACAAAGCCGCGGCCAACATATACTTCTCCCGTGATGTGGCGGAGTCGTCAGCGTGGATTGCGTTAGGCACCACAGAGCTGGATGATTTTTATCGAGAACTGAAGTCGCACGGGAATGTCGAGATTATAGAGGAGATCGCAGATAAGGAGTGGGGATATAGACAGTTTAAAATCAGGGACACGGACGGGAACAGGCTCACGTTCTTCAAGTTTCTGGCGGGTGGGAATCCTGGAGTTGACGGAGAGTGAGGAGGTCAGCGGATGGCCACATGGACGATTGGTTCACGACACCTGCAGCATCCATAGGTGCTTTGAAGACGAAGGTCTGGGCCGTCCCCTGCTCCCTAGCGGGACTTGGGCCAATTACACCCCTGACGGGAAAAGCCTCTGTTGATCGTCGACTGCAAAGGTCGCAGCTGAGTCTGTTGGATCGGCTCCACGTAGCAAGACGAGTTTTTGGCAATAACAGATCATGTCCTTGTTCGATGTGATGGAAACTGCCGTGATACGTCCGCATTGGCCCGGGGTATGGAAAATGGACTAGCTGTTGAGCGAAAAAGAAGAATGATTGACGTCGTGGCGCACATCAGACCCAACAAACTCGAAGCTTATCTCTTTTCTAAGTCGTTTCTGGCCTAGGCCATTGCCTGACGCTGTTGCGCAATGAAACATAAATTCAACGTCTTTCCCAGGCGTCGAGCGACACTCACATCTCAACTCACCATCTCTTGAACTTCTTCTGACGTTCGCCATGGTCTCACTTCGATTCCTCGCCGTTACAACGCTACCGTTGCTCTGTGCAGCCCTAAACCCAGCGGCTGTTTACGACGGTGGCTATGGCAACGATTCGTCCATTCTCCTTGGTATCGGAAACGGAGGCGCCGGGCAGAGTGGGCTGATTAAAGGTATCTCGTCAACTTGAATATCGATTCTTGCTGAAAAACCTTGACTGAATTGTGAGACAGCTCTCGCCGACGCATTCATCGAGCAAAAGGTCTCCAACGGCTCTGAGCCTTTCAGAGTCGCCTGGTATCAAAGTGACACAACCTACAGTATCAACTACCTCAAAGACGCCCTGATAGACGTCGCCATCACGTACAGCCCGGCAGCGGAGAGGATCGCCATCGAGCAGGGAATCGCATTAGACCCTGCTTACTACGCCTTCCGGGACCATTTCCTTATCGTTGGGCCCCCTTCCAACCCAGCCAACGTCTCGGGTACGTCTGACATCTACACCCTTTTCTCCGATCTGCACGAAGCCGCCGAGGCCAAAAACACAACCCCACCGGTGAGATTCCTCAGCCGCTACGACAAATCGGCCACCAACATTAAGGAATCCGACCTCTGGATCAGCATCGGCCAGGTATGACTTACCCCCCTCCCTCCTCCCTCCTCCCCTCTCACTTCGCCCCTAACCCCTCCTCACCGCAGGTCCCCTGGTCTACCGCCTACTCAACCTGGTACCACCAATACATCACGTTCCCCCTCGAAGCGCTCTCCGCCGCCATCCTGCTCGACGAGTACACGCTCACGGACCGCGGGACGTTCCTCTCGCTGCCGGCCAACCTGACGTCGGAAACGACCGTCTTCAAGGCGGCCACCGACGCGGCCGACGACCCGCTGCTCAACCCGGCCCACCTGCTGGTCGGGGCGCGCGCGCCCAACCCGGAGACGGCGGCCGAGTTTGCGAGGTGGTTGGTCGGGGGCGAGGGGCAGAAGGTGGTGGGTGGGTTTGAGAAGAATGGCGAGCAGTTGTATAGTCCGGCGCCGTGATTGGGGGGAGGTGAGGTTGTGTTCGAACTTCGGGTGTGGTTGGGTTGTGGGTGGGGGTGTTGGGTGCACGGCGTTACCTTGATATCACCCTGTCCGTCATAATGGTAATGAATCATGAAGACTGGAATGACAGTTTTGTCACTTCTACAAACATGTTTGAATGGAAAATATGTGCCATCAAATCACCAATCAAAAAGGATTTGATACTTAGATTTGCTACATGTATCCAAAGACTAGCAGCCTATTCCTCGAGCTATCCCCGCTGAAGTTCTATCATCTCCAAGTATTCCTCTCTCTGATACCGTGGCAGTGAGGCTATATCGTCCTTAGTTGGGCCACAGCGCCGGACCAGGCATGGGAGCAAAGGTCGGGGGCGGCTGAGCCCAGCTGTCGAGCTGAATAGCAGGGTCGTTGGGCTGGTAGCCGCCGGGGAACTTAATGGTGAGGCCCGGGCGTCTTGCCGTTGTAGCTGCTGGCAATGTCGAGGTGGGCGCACTAAAAGCGACCGGTATGTCAGCCTGTGAACAAACGATGGGAGGAGACGTCCGGCCTTGTCTGCGTCTCACCTGGAAGTACATCTCCTTCTGGCGGTAGGGCTGGTGGATGCTCATTTGCTCGATCCGCATCAGGTACTGGCCGGCGGGGATCTCGTTGGGGAGCTTGAACTCGAATTGCTTCAGGTCCCGCGTCAACCAGCCCTGGTCGGTCCCGTTCCAGGGGATCATGGTGCCCAGCTGGTACACCTTGAACCAATCGCCAGACCCGTCGTAGTCACGAACATCACCCGGTGCTTTGGAGAGGTAGATCTATTCCGACGAGGTGGTGTTAGTCGGGGGTGAGGGAAGCTTCGGGGCTGAGGAGATGGACTTGCCGTGACTGGGCCGGGATGGTAGATGCCAAAGTCGAGATGGAGATGGAAGCCGACCGTGTCTTTTCCGGCAGTTACTTTGGCCGTCTTGGGCTGGGAGCGGTGGTTCCACGACCCCTTGTTGCAGCGGAAATCATTACTACTAAGAATCTCCGGGGTGAAGGAGGGTTGGAAGCCGTTGTCGTGCTCGCGGACGTATTCATAGGCGCCCGTCTTGACGCCGTTGAGCATCAAATGCGGAAACAGGAAGTGGGCGTTTGAAAGTTGGGGGAGAAGGGCGAGAGCCCCGTAGGCCAAAGAAAAGTGCATGGTGGGCGATTGAGTCCGCGTACCCACGGAGAAGAGACTTGGAGTTGAGGAAGGTATTATATCTGCAAACTTGCCGGGATGAGAAGGCCAATTTATACTCGGTTGTTCCATCATTCCCAGACTTGGGCACTGTGAGTCTCCGGCACTCGCCCATTTTGTCATGCATGATGCTGCCAGTCACCGCAATACTATCCATGCCCTTGTTGAGTCCCAACGTTGCTTTGAACGCTTGGCTCTCAGTCCTCACACGACATCCGGGCGATGATAAATTAATCTAGCGAACCAACAGCGACAACCTGGACCATTGGAGGATGATTGTTTGGGCGATCAGCGGAGGGAGGTCCGAGTCTCGAAGCGTTGTGAAATGAGACGTGCTATCTCGTTTTGACACGCGCTCGAATGAGATACAAGAGCGGTGGAGAGACTTGAAACAAGCCCGGTTGATGGCTGCGGCATGCTTTAGCGAATGCTACCTGTGCTCAGAAGCGGGATAAGTACCGAAGTGAGGATACCCAGCGCACCAGCAAAGGTAAAAGATGGCGCCTTGTGTCATTGGCTGTTTTGATGTTGGGGTTGAACACTGGAGGCTGTATGTAACTGTATGTTACGGGGCTTCGGGAGTGGCGGCGGTCGCCTGCCGTAATTAACTTCCTTGCCGCACCAAACACGATCCGTAACCGATCCTGTCATCCCCAATGAAATTTGGGAGCTTTGATCCCGCCCAAAACTACCGGCCGAGGTACCGACGCACCGTACCTCCCCACCCAATACAACCCAAGCCGTATGTACGATAGGAATCATAGGATACCAGGGCGGTTGGATGACCGTTGAATGAGCCAGCTGCCACCAGGCGGTGACGGTTCTGGCGTACCTCAGCTGTGTTGGCGAACGCCAAAATGGGAGAGAAACCAGAAACCCCGAAGCGGCATTGCTGGGAATGCCTTCGGCGCTGTGTTGTTTGTGACTCGACGAGACCAGCATGCAATAGGTGCGCGGCAGCCGGAAGTGTGTGCCCCGGATATGGCGACGTCAAGCCGACGCGGCTGGTATGGCTTGCGCCCGGAAAAGTGAAATCTCGAGTTCGAAGACGAAAAGGGTCCCCGGCTTCGTCTGCTGACCCGGCCGAGCTCCGGGGCCATACTCATCCAGTCGCGGCGCCACATGCCTACCCTAAACATACCGTCTACGAATCCATCCCGCGCTTCGGTGTGAATACAGACGCCGATGCCATGGTTCACGCTGCAGAATACTGCAAGTTCTACCCACTGCAGGTCATGTTCCTGTCCTTCCTGCCCCCCATTGCTAATTAGGTTTTTGCCAGATAATACCTGCATTTACCAAGACCTTGTCCCTCTCCGAGAGCTCGGGGACCACCCCGGAATATATCGGATATCGCCGTCCCTCGTTCAGGAGTCGATTTCTCGCCCTGATTACCTGCGACTGGGGATGCTTTGTATGACCCTCAGCCACCGGATGAACCGCGTTTGGGGCGACTCGCAGGTCAACCATAAAGCCTTGGCCGAGAGGTTCTATACCCATCGGGGAAATGCCATCCGATCTCTTAGAGAGCTACTGAATCAGGAGAGTCACCGCACAGGCGACGTTGTTATCGCCGGGATCGTGACCCTCCTCCTGGTTGACGTAAGGGCCACCACTTCCGAACAATGAATGTAAGCCCTTAAAATTCTAATAAGGTTTTGCCGCAGCTTCAACAGGGTGCTTCCCTAAACTGGCGGCCACACGTCGAGGGCGCCATCAAGCTGATCCAACTACGTGGCGGGTTTGCCGCCCTGGCCGACTTCAAAACCTTGGAGCCGCAGCTCCTATTCCTTTGCTTGTATGTCACGCATCCCCGGATCCCCAGTCTACAGACCTGGGTTAAGGAGCCATCAACAACCACCACAGTTAATACTAACCATCACGCATCCCCATACAGCATGGCTGTCCTCGGCAACACCACCTGTCCCGCCTCTGATCTCTCCATGACCCCAGCCCACCTCGCCGCGCTCGACGTCATCCTAAAATCAACCCTCGCCCCCTTCCAAATGTGCCCCGCACCACTATTCGGCGAGATCATCCGCATCAACCACCTCCGTCTGCGGGCCACCCAGCCCACCACCCACCCCAACCCAAAACCAAAACCAGACCAACTCACCCACGAAGCCCACCAAATCCATTCCCGCATCCGCGCCTTCTCCCCCTCGCACTGGGCCGGCACGAAGCCCCGCGCGCGGGAGGACTGGACCCTCGCCGGCCGCATCTACCACGCCGCCGTGGCGCTGTACTGGGCGTCTGCGCTGCAGAGCGCGGGAGTGCTAGCCCCGACCGCAGCCCTCCGCGCCGAGTGCGCCGAGCACGCCCGCCTGCTGCAAAGCCTGCTCGCGCGCGGGGTCGTGAGCCCGAGGATCTGGCTGTGCACGCTCTGGCCGCTGGTGGTGCTGGGTGTGCAGGCGGCGGTGATTGGTGATGGGGATGGGGGTGGTGGCCATGATGACGGCGGCGGTGATGGCTGTGGTGAGGGGGTGGGGGTAATGCCTCTAAGGGACTTCGTCGCCGCCCAGTTGCCTGTGCTGGCTCGGCAGGGTGGTACGTACGCGCCGCTTGTGGCGAAGGGCGTGTTGGAGAGGTTCTGGGCGTCCGGGGAGACGCGGTGGGACGCGTGCTTTGACCGGCCTTATGCGTTTGTCATGCAGATTGCGGTAGATGTGAGTCGCATCACGAGCCCCCCAAGTCAGGGTCCGGCTCCGCCCCCCCGGGCAGTCCCTAGCCTCTAGGTCTTGATATGTAGAGCGTCATGCCCTTTTGGATGTTGCTTGCCTCGGTTGTTGTTATCTGGGTCAGAAGCAGGTAATAGCCTAGAATTATTGGATCTATTATATGAGAAGCGCCGTGACGGTTTGTGGGATTAAGGCCCGAGACATCACACCGTTAACTACCGAGGCACCTAGATCCTACCAAGCAATCTTACCGCCGGGTGTTTGGTATTATCGACGCCTTACCCAAACCAAGCGCTGTTTCCATCGTTCGGACCTTGAGCGGCAGAGAGCGACATGTGATACATTATGTGTGTCGCATGTGAAGAAAAAGAAAGAGAGAAAAAGAAAGAGAGAAAAAGAAAGAAAAAAAAGAAGAGAAAGGTATTATTGATCTTTAGTACCATCTCTATGTTCCCATTCTCCTCTTCTAGACATCGCTAAACCAAAATACCTCCAATCGATCCACCTTACAACCTAACTTACAGACAATCGAAAGTCTTCTGCGCTCGCCACCTCCATCCTCCCCCCATTCCATGTCCCCCAAGGTTCTCTCCTACATTCCCCCTCATTAAACCACTCCAAGACCACAGGCCACAAACCCTCCATGATTCTACTAGTCTCTAAAACAACCTCCACCCCACTACCCATTTCCCACTCTTGAGTCATTCAGGCAGTATAATGGCTACTGCCCGGCGGGTACTCGCCCAACTCCTGCATGCGATGCGCGCCCTCCTTTTTGTTGCGAAACAACAGACCAAACGTCAACACATGGGCCGTCTTAGCCAACAGCGGCCTGGAATCCTCGTGAATGTCGCCCGTCACCTCCGTCCCGTCCTCAGCCAGGTAGACGTGATGATCCCGCGGCAGGAACCGCCCCGGATGCCAGACATTCCACAACCACGAATTGAGCAGCATCAAGCTCGCCTCAAAAACATAAAAGTACACCTCATACCGCATCAACGGGCTCAGCCCCCTCAACACCTCCATATCATCCAAATCAATCTTCGTGTTCCCCCCCGCATGTTCCACCAACCGAAACACGCACCGCACAAAAATCAGCCCCATACTCACATACAACACCAACAGCACCGCCCTCACCCCCCTCGCACTCCGCCGCAGCAACCCCGCCCGAGCAAAGCGCCGATGAAACAGCGCGGCCATGGCCACAAAGATGACAATCACCACCACCTGGATGGCGAGGGCGGCGAGGGTCAACCGCGTGCCGAGGCCCTGCGCGCTGCCGGACGGGTTGGCGACGAGGGCTACGCCCACGGCGTTGAGCGCCTCCACCACGGCCATCAGCCCGCCGAAGGTGGCTAGGACTCGGCTGGCGGGAAGGGGCGCGCAGTAAGGGATGTAGGAGAAGATGCGGCCGAGGACGTGGTAGTTGGAGAGTTCGAGGAGGGGGCTGAGATGGTGGGGGGGCGCCATGCATGCCCGGCGTGTTAGTTGGGGTGGGGGGGTTGGTGGTGGTGGAGGGGTGGGCTTACGGGCAGATGTAGATGAATACTTGGCTGAGGACGAAGACCATCAAGGGTGTTTTGTCGGTGGGGAGGTATAGGTAGTTGTGGGCTCCCCATTTTCGCAGGGCGTAGCCGAGGGTGAAGGAGACGGCGCAGACCGAATGCAGCCACATCAGCTTCCATGCCTGGTAGCGGACGCATTGCCACATGTGGAAGATGGCGGAGAAGCCATAGGCGATGATGAAGAAAATGGGCGCTCCTTGGTTTGGAGCGTAGACATACAAACTCCACAGGACTGGACCATGTTAGCACTGGAATTTTGGGGGCCTAGGTGTCTGGGTAAAAGGTGTGTTGTGGATTGTGTTTGTCATACCGGGTTCTCCAGGAGACGCCATTTTGACAATCAAAAGAAACAAAGGGAAGTAAATTGAATATAATCTCAGCAAAAGCTTGGCCGTAGGATGGTATAATTATATCTGTGGATGATGGCGGCGACCAGTGTCTTGGAGTGGGTGTTAGTTGTCGGGCTTCCTCCGGCTTCTTATATGAACTTTTTTGGGTTCAAAGATTTTGAGACCCCGTCTCCATTTTGCTGTGTTTTTCCCCATGGCATTCCACTAAACCCCTTTCAGGGGCTTTCGATTGCCAACATACCCCAAGCCGGACGCGTAATGTGTTGAGTGCCATCATCCATGAACCGGTGATAACACCACGGCTTCGTCCCAAATAGGACAATACGCTTGCCAAGTCTGCCAAGACTGTCTAATCCCTGCTGCAGATCATCTTCCTTCAGGACAAGGCCCATAAGTCATCTCCACCAAGTTACACACAGTAAGGTGACTACACAGCAGTTGGAAAGGCCGAGTGCCCCAAGTTTGAATCTTGTCAGCCGGGTCTTCGCCGCTTGATCTACGTCATGTGGGTGAAAGGGATCTCAAAATTTGGTGTGCAGTGGACGCAGCGCTGCTCTGCTGACGCGTCTTTGGCATTTCCTATTCATCTCATTTGATGTTATAGAGGCAACTTTTTACTAGAAATGGCCCCAAGATGTGTTAATAGTGGGGAGAGCCGCTTTAATAATACCATACCCTCTTGCTGGACCCTGCCCGTGGGGTCGGGTTCGGCACAATCGGTTCCGTATCAAGCTGACGAGTGCGGTTAGGGGGCCGAGAAAATAAGGGACCTAGGGGGGGTGATTAAGTGGTTCATAACATGTCCTGGGTAACAAACTCTGGAGTTCCTGCTACTGAGCACGCTTCAATGAGTTAATGAAGTGTTACTCGTGTTTACAAGAAAACAGGGTTGTTTGGGCCGGTCGCTAGATAGGTAGGTACCTAAGAAGTTACAAAATCCAGTGCTATGATGAAGCTCAGCTTGGCTAGGTACGGAGACGATGGATCATGGACTGGAGCAGACCAAGTGAGGCCTATATTTTCATCTTCTTGCCTCCTACTACCCACCTCCCGTTTAAAAGATCTAGTACAGACATCCTTACCGAACACAAACCCCTGACTCTCTTCCATCTCACCCTGACCTTCTCGCCCAAATAGACCCTTGAGCCTCGTGCATCTCCTCGCACTGGGTATTTTCCTGGCACAGACTTTATATAATCTGTACAAGTTCCCGCACGCACACTTTCACCGCCTCCTCACAATTGAAGTTAAACAACGGTTTAGCTCAGCGGCATTGTGTGGAGGACCGGTTGGACACCAATCGAAAGAGGACCGGTTCGACTCCCCCTCGCGGCGCAAAACTCTAAAATAAGGAGTTTTCGTAACCACCAACCTCCATTTTCCACCCAGACTACGTGTGCCGCGGTTTGGACTGCTGTTTTCGGCGGGCGCGAAGCGTCAAGTTTCCGCAGTCTAGGCCGCCCCCATAAAAGTACATCTCGGGCGGGGCACATGTTCCTCTCGGTGTCAACAGTACCCGTAACTACAGTACTAAACCCCTTGCACACATGCACGCGCCGCACACCTCAACAGGTTAGCGGGAAGTTGAACCCATGGCGGCTCACACTTGCGGCGATGAAGGCCACGAGCCTGGCTTAAAACCCGTCATGCATGCACCCACTGGCATTTTCATTGCTGACATCCCCGACATTGTTTAGACAATTGTTCCCTCATACGGTAGGTCACGGCTTTTCGGTAAACTACTTCGATCGAGCCGAGCATTGCTCTGCTAATAGACGATATAGTCTTGTGCACAGTGCGGCTACCAAGCAACCAAAATGGACGCCGCAGCCAAACGAGTGTGGGCCCAGCTTGTCGCGCGGCCAACCGCAACTGCGGTGCCGTTGACATTCGTTGAGCTTCACAATATTTACCATCGCGGCAATGAGCAACACCCGCTGCTACCTGACCGTGCCGATAACACGGTAGTCAACCTTGTCATTGCGGAGAAACGATGGCGCAGCTTCTGCGCGTTCTTCCGGGACCCCCAAGGTCGCGGGTGGAAAAGCCTTCTCCGAGCACTTTACTGGAAGGAGAAAGGCATTGCCGATGAATATGCTCGCTGCTTCATACGCAGAAAAGGGTCAAGAATCAGAAGCTCGGCGACACCCCGCAGATATCTTCGAGACCTGTCGGCACTGTTACTTCAGGTTCCAAGGCTCCGAGCTCGACGAACGTGTCCGAGGTCACACGCTTCAGACTGCCAAGCAAGAGCTCGCCCCCAAATTTGGACTGCGAACTCCATTCCTCGTCGGAGAGCACGGCGCGCTCGCCGGAGGTTTCAGGCGTCAGGCCGGTCGAGGTGAAGGATACGGCTGCGAGGCCGGTGGTGTAGGCGGCTGCGTTGGGGGCGAGTTTCTTCTCGAGGATGGAGGGGGTGCGGGAGGTGGTGGTGCCCGGTGCGGTGGAGGGTTTACAGGTGGAGGTGGCGAGGGATTTGCTGATGCGGTTGATATCGACGCCGCCAGCTTCGCGGGCTTGGCGGGCGCGCTCGACGGCTTCTTTGGCGCGCAGGACCTTGTCGCCGATGCGGCCCAGCGCGTCGACGTTGATGCCGCCCTGCTGGCGCTGCGCCTCTTGGTCCTTTGTAGGTAGGGCGTCCTGACCGTCCTATAGGTATTTAAACTGGCTGAGGTCGCAGCTGGCGGCGTTCTGCGGGTCCTGTAGGGTGATGATATCCTTACGGCCGAACTCGGCATCGTCGACCAAGTCGCGCCACATCTTGGACCTGATGTTCATGCGCTCGACCGTATCCCAGGCGAATATGTTGGCATAGCTGCTGTAGCGGACGGCTACGATATGGGTATTATCGGTGAATACCTTGAAGGTGACGGGGTCGATGAAGTTGCCCTTGCCGTCGGTCGGGATGCCGGTGTGGTCGTGGGTCGCGGCCGTGTTGGCATTGCGCGCGAAGTTGAGCTTGATCAGGTCCTGAGCGGCTTGCCGTTGACGGGGTTGGCTGCGTGCTTGTCCAGCTACGTGCTGATGACCTTGACGTCGAAGATGGTGCCGTCGGCCTTGCACATGGGGTTCTGGAAGGGCTGGAGGCTGGCAGCGCAAAAGTTGAAGGGCAGGCGCTTGAAGCTCGCGTGCGTATTGCCGCAGTTGCGCTGCGCCCGCGCGCCCGCGTTCGCCCCGGCGCTGGCACCGTAGGCATCCGAGGACGACCACTCGGAGCGCGTGATGTACAGCTTGTCAGTGCCCTTCCCCATGTTGGCGCATTGCAGTGCAAGTTATTTTGGAAGGCGAGGCAAGTTCAAGCCCGAACCAGACAAATGACGAAGTGTTGTTGGGCCTTATCAGCGGATGCTTGTCGCTTGCTGCACACAGCAGCTCAAATCATGATGGCGGCTGGGCGGCTGAAGAGTGGTCTGCAGGTGTTCGAACAAACCCACCCCACCTTCCCATCCCCCTCCGGCGGCGCAGAACTCAGTGGGTGTCTGCCTGTCCCCTGCCTCACTACCCAGTTTCTCTCTTCCTCGCTTGTATCTTCGCAATACTATCAGCACTCGAAAAGACGTGCTGTCCAAGCCACTCACTCCAAGACCGTTCAGCCAAATCTCTCTGACTTCGCATCCCGCAGACAGTCCATAAGTCCATGCAAAGCCGCCAGGCCTCCTGCAAGTTTCGGCCCTCTTACACGGTCGGCGGTTGTTGAAGGGTGTGAGGTTTGGTACATGCAGACTGGGGCGCAATGATTGGCCCAGAGCCCTTGTTGTTGGGTTGTTCACCCGTGCCAATGCTACCCCCCTATGTTCCTCCTCCCATTCCTCTATCGCCCGGTTGGCAATGTGCTTCTGCCTGGGGCTGATCAGGCCGTGTGTAAGTGAATGCTAGGGTTAAGCATAAGGTAAGCAGTAATGTAGCCAAGTAGATAGTTAGGCGCCTGCGTCGCCTGTCTCCTTTCTCGTCTTCAGTTCGAAGAGCATAACTGTCCCTCGTGCATTTCCAAAAAGACCAAAAACCTAAGAGCGAGACCACAACCATGGAACTGACTCAGAACAGGAGAAAACTCTTGCCAGTCGACGAGCTCCCTATACGATCGCCGGCTCCCGTGCCCCGTCCGAGGCCGACCGTCCCGGTGGACCGAAAGTTGTCCAGGCCACTCCTCCCAACGGTCACAGGCCAGAACGGGCCCTTGACCGCGAATCCAGGCTTCATCAGATGCAAGCCTCCATGCCACTCACGACAGTTCCCTGACGACATCACCATAAAACAGTACCGAGCGTTGTGGACTAAGCTGCATCGGCAGGCTCAGCGGCTCGGAGCAATGGGGTCAACACCCAAGCCAAAATCATGGAGGGCGGTGAAGGTACAGAGTAAAAGTGACACGCAAAGGGTAATAATGGACCACGGTCGGGATGACGAAGCGAAAGCTGTCGCTGTCGAAAAGCTCTATCTCGGTGCCCAGATGTTTATGATGCCTTACTAACTGATTTCACGCCTGACGATCTTCCAATGAACGCGAAGCTGACTTGCCTTGTCATGACAGGTACCTGCGGCCCGGCTGCTTGCGGCCCAGCGCTTGGGTCAACAGATTTGGGGCGGATTGGAGAGACAATGCTCGTGGGATATATTATCGTCATTACCGTTCCCCTGGGCGGGTATCGGCTGGTCGCACTCTGTGGTTGCCTTCATTGCAAGACGATGCCGGAGAGGATCTCGATTGGAACCACCCGAGCGAGACACGCCGCAGAACCCGAGCGAGACACGCCGCAGAACCCGAGCTCGGAGATTCGTAAGACACATTGTGGACAATGAGCAATGGAAGAAGGTCGAGTTTGCTTGGGAGGTTGACGCCTGGACCGATGTCTTTGGTCTGATGAGGGATGATCCGTTGTTGGCTGTGTAAGTTCCTATCCTGCAACACCACCGATTCCGTAACTGCGTACTGACATCTCTGTTGTGGAAGCGACAAACACGAGTATAACACCTTGGGGAAAGATGCATACCTAGCCTCGTGCCTTCTCACCGGCGAGACAACATTCCTTGTGAGGAGGCCAGACGCCACTTTCGGACTCGCGACCTTCCAGCCGAAAGATTATCAGAAAAGCGCTATAGCTCACTGGGACCTCGACCATGACCGCTTAGAGGCACTGCTGCTTCACAAACACTGCGGTCTGATTTCGGACCCGCAGGGGCGATGCCAACCTCGTGTTCCCATTTGCCGTCTATGAAGCCAAGGGCTGGGGCGGCGACCCCCGTGAAGCCCGCCGACAAGCATGTTCAGCCGGGGCGGTCTACCTCGACCTGCTAGAAGTATTGACGAAACGACCAGGCAAGCACAAGCCGGGCAAAATCATCGAGGATCAAACACCGGAAAGCCGAAACACTCAAGTCTTTGTCTTCACGTCCTTCGGCGCCCACTGGCACATTCTGGTCGGCTACAAGAGGCCTAGGCTCAAACGGGAATATGCCAGGCAGGAGGGCATGAGCAAGTCTGTCTACATTTTCCAGCGGATCTGGAGCGCCAGGGTCGTGACTGAGAAGAAGGCCTGGGAGCTCCTCTCGCTCGTCGACCAGATACATCTCTGGGGCGTGACGGACCACCGGGAGTTTGTCATCCGCCACCTGAAGCCGTGGCACAGGTATGCCGAGAGGTGCTACGCCCGCGATGTTGAGCACATGCTGGGGTATGTGGATACGGCGGGCTGGCACAATCCCAAAACACATGCGCGCCAATGGTCTGTACCTCGAAACTGCATCTGGCTTCCCGAATGGATGTCGCACTTGATCAACAACTCCCAGCAACGACACAAACTCCTGATCTCCAGAGCCGCCTTCCAGATCAAAGAAGCTTTTGTGAGGCATCAGGGCACCGCCGAGGCACGCGCGGGTGCCGGTGAGGACATCGACGCTCCCGTTGACGGTGGCGTTTGCGTGATTGACGACAAAGGTCGCTATCGCTTGGAATCCTGGGGCGAATATCTCACGGACTCAAGCGAGGGGTACGGCACAGACGATGGCACGGTTTTGCGCTCGGTGGACGAAGCCGACAGCGATGACTCAACGCTGATCTCAAAGAATCCCTGGAAACGCCAACGAAAGGGGCCGAATTCAGACTCGAGGAGGTCAGACTCGAGGAGGACAAAGTCGAAGAGGACAAAGTCGAGGAGTTCAGAGTCGAGGAGTTCAGACTCGAGGAGTTCAGACTCGAGGAGGACAAAGTCGAGGAGGACAAAGTCGAAGAGCTCAGACTCGAGGAGCTCAGACTCGAGGAGTTCAGACTCGAGGAGTTCGGATCTGTGGAATTCAGACTTGAGGAGTTCAGAATCGAGGAGGACAAAGTCAAGGAGGACAAAGTCGAAGAGCTCAGACTCGAGGAGTTCAGACTCGAGGAGTTCAGACTCGAGGAGTTCGGATCTGTGGAATTCAGACTTGAGGAGTTCAGAATCGAGGAGGACAAAGTCAAGGAGGACAAAGTCGAAGAGCTCAGACTCGAGGAGTTCAGACTCGAGGAGTTCGGATCTGTGGAATTCAGACTTGAGGAGTTCAGACTCGAGGAGGACAAAGTCGAGGAGGACAAAGTCGAAGAGCTCAGACTCGAGGAGTCCAGACTCGAGGAGGACAAAGTCGAAGAGGTCTAGCTTAAGGAGTTCGGATCTGTGGAGTTCAGACTAAGTTAGTTTCAGTCTGTCGCACCGTTATAGTATCGTGGTTTTTTGATAGCTATTAGGCAAGGGCTTCTCTAACACTGTTGTTATATCATTAAAATTGCTGGCGTCGCTTCGTTCGTCCGTTGCGCGGCCCTTCGCTGCGCTACGGGGCGCTTCCTTCCTCTCTCCCGCTCCTGGCAATTTTCCTGTCCTGTCCTCCGGACTTCCTGGGGTTAGCGTTGAGTACCGTCCAGCGTGAGATGGACGACTCTGAGGGAAGACATGCTGCAATGCACAGTGGCAAGACGAGGAAGCCTCTCGTTCTATCTGGGAGGGAAAGCGCCATCAGATACAAGGCATTGGTCACCAGATATGAAGGCAGTCCGGGCGACGATCAAATACGCAATGGCAACAGGAAGGCTGGAGCTGAATGAGGAGGAGAGTCTAGACCAGTCACAGTAGAAGAAGCCGACACTCAACACCACGAGCCTCAACCACGAGCCTTAACCAGCAGGTCCCGCTTTAGCTGCTGAAGATAGGACGCTGAACACTTGGAGAAAGTAGCCTCCAAGTTGATCTGCTAACAACAACCAAGGCAAGAGGTAAATGGTGCAGCGAGAAAGAGGGAAGAAGTAGGGGGCTTGTACGAGTTAAAAGGCAAACCGATTTGATCCGAATGTAGTTAGCGTGCTAAGGCCCTATAGGCCCAGTGCCTCCGGGCGAAATAAATTCCATCCATCCATCCACTTCCGAGACTCACCGTCTCCACATAGGCATGGAGGTTGCGCGGCTGCTGGACAAACGTGAATGCGACATCCTAGCCGTCCCAATGTAGACTGAAACTACGGCGTCATTCGGAGGAAACCCTCAGATTGCAGTTCCTATACCGGCCCATCCAGCCGACTGGCCTCTTCCAACAAAACGAAAACACGGCCTCGTGTCTACGGGGCCTAACATTCCGTACGTCTACGCCATTTTCCCTGTCTTGAATACGCTCCCGTTAACACGCAGTTAGCACAAGCATCATGTTCATCGGTCGTCGCTTCGATGATGGGTTGGTTATCAGCGCGGCCTACTCGTTCGAGCAGGCAACTCATCACAGAGACAAGTTTTTTCCGATTCTGAGTCTCAGCACTGATCTAAAGGAGGAGCAGGCCAGAACGTAGGAGAGCCGCCTTCTCAAGCTTGAGAAGCGGGATGCTGGCCAAGGAGACGGCAGACCTTTGTTGGGAATATGATACAAAGTAGAATAGCGTTAGACAGGAGTAAACAAAACAGTGCCTCGCGATTCCTCATCCACCTCGGTGTCAGCCCTCCTTCCACCAAGGTCTGCACCGGCACTTTGAGGTCCTTAGTCACAACCAGTCCTCAGCCATGGCCTCATCGCGATCAACTACGTCGGTGGTCAGATAGCGGCATTGAGAAACAATAGCAGATCATGGGGGAAGTGTCACTAGGTTAACCAAAGGAGAACAACTCGGAGAAAAAGCCCTCCCTGTCAACCGTTGGGTTTGCGTGGGCCCACCAACAATTCACCGATAGCTTGGGCGGCATGGGATATCGAGATACTGACGCTTTCGTTCTAGAAATGGTGTCAAGCCCAGGCATGGAAGGGTTGTAGCCTCTGTTTGTGCATTGGGCTTTTAGGGAGGATGGGTCTTGGGCAAACTTGTTTTCGCGCTCTCATTAACAACAGCTTCTGGTCTTCATTGTTGCTTAAGGGTGCAGTTTCTTAGCCTCATATAGCTACCAGTTCTGGACTATTTTGAGCCGACACGGAGTCTTGGTAGGCAAAAACACCCTCACCTCCACCCGACTCAACAGCCCTTTCTTCACCAATACACAACCAAGCGAAAAACCCCACCCGCCCATCCATCACCCATCCATCCCTTGACAGTAAGTTGAAAACCGATCCATCCACCCATAGTTTCAACCCACCCATGCCAGGCTATGCTTTGAACAATACAAATACAGAGAGAAAGAGAAAACGTAAAGGCGCGGGGAAGAGGGTAGGTAAAAAAACCAAATCAATAAAAAAAAAAAAAAAAAGGCAAAAGCCAAACAACAAAACCCCCATGCATCCCCGACTCCGCTTTCATTCCTTCCATTTCGAGAAGAGATACATGTATATCATACTCGCTGTGTCGTGCATGTGTGGCCGCGCCGCGCTTGCGCTGCGTGGTACTAACCTCCGTCGTATTAGTGAGCAACAATCCTCCCCGCACCCAATCCCTCCCTCCCCTTCCCTGAAAGTAAACCCCGCAGCGGCAGAAAAGGAGGAACAGAACCCCGCCCGCTGGGGGGAGGATCAAACAGGACAAGATCGGCACTGGGTTACCGCACACTTAGGTCTGGTATATCCCTCTGAGGCTGAGAGGAACGGGATCGAGAAATCGCAGGGCGAGGGGAGCGGTAATTCCGGCAGCTGCGGCGGGAGCCGCGGTTGCAGAGGTAGCGGGAATGGCGAGGGCGGTGGTATGGGCGGTGGCGGGAGAGACCGCGGTTCCATGGCGCCGGCCCACACGCGCATGCGCTTGTACAAGGACCGCCTCCGCTGCCGCGGCTCAGGCGTGTCCTGAACAGGGTCTGCGACGGGAAAGTAAGCGACGCGCTGCTTTGGAGCTTCGCTCAACCGACCGCCTTCACCAGTGTTACAAGCGCTAGGGTTTGTTCCGACGCGCGGACGATCGGCGTGGTTCTACCACATGTCGCCGTTCTCGTCGTTGTCGTCGCGCCGCTTGTTGGTGGCGTCCTGCGCATAGTAGTAGTTATTTTGCTGTCCGCTGCCGCTGCCCTGGCGTACATGGCCCTGGTTGTGACCCTGTGCCTGTGGCTGTTCATCAGCGTAGCCATCCCCGTTATCTTGGTGATGATGATCGCCATGGTCGTAGTCGTATATCTGCCCGTCGTCCGCGTAGTGAGCGGTGCCGTCTTGCTGCAGCGGAGCATCACCGTACTGGGTACCGGACTGCGCCTGGATTAGCCATCAAGAATCACGATACCACACGGGAGGAACTTACTCGATGGTACTCGAAGTCAAAGTTCCCATCCTGGGCCGCCTGTTCGGCCGCTTGTTGCTCCATTTGCAGCTGGGCTTCTTCCGCTTCACGCCGTTTTCGTTCTTCCTCTTGCCTCTTCTGCTGCGGCGAGACGGGGATCTGGAGCTGTGGGTGCATCGCCTGCACCTTGGCGAGATATGAGTACATGAAGTTGCTAAGCAGTACCTGACTGTGCAGCGGCCGGCGTGGGTTGGCGAGCTTGATATGGGCCATCCGATAGATAGCCCTCTCCTCGATGATCGGGAACCGGGTCCAGGCATAGTCGATATCGGCGCGGAGAGGTCGGGGCGGGGGGTCAGGGGTAAGCGGTCGATGCTCTTTCTTCTTGTGGCTCGAGTCTTTGTCGGCTTTCTTCTTCGAGCCGCCAAACAAACCGCCAAAGAAGCCTTCCTTTTCCTTCTTCCCCTCACTCGATTTCCGGTTGGTCTCTTTCTTCCGTTCCTCTTGCGGCAAACCCTCGATACTATCCCGATCCAGCCGGAGGCTCTCGCGGCCCTTGGGGACGTTGTCGATGGAGCTCTGGATGACGTCCATCCGCGCGTGATCATGGCTCTTGTCAGCAGCCTTGCCTTTCGCTTTCCTAGCTTGTTCCTCCCGTTCTCTCTCACGCTCACGCTCCTTCTCCTTCTCTTTTTCCCGCTTCTTCTTCTCCTTATCGTCGCTCTTGAACCACTTCCAACTCGAAGTTGACTTGTGGGAGGCCACACTCTCGCTGTCGTCTTTCTCCTTGCTCTTTCTGTCGAACTTCTTCTCGATGCTGTCAAAGGTAGGGATAAAGGTTAAGCTGCTGGTAGTACTGCCACCGCTTCCGGGCAGTGCGTGTGGCTGGTTGATCTCGCCGAGCACGTTCGAGTTTGACGAGCCCTGCTCCTTGACGCTGTTTGCCCTCGCAGCAGGGACCGGGAGATTGGACGTCTTGGATAGAGGAGGTCGCTTACTAGAGCGAGCCGGGGGATCCGTTGGCGGCTGTTCGGTATGACTCTGCGGTGCCCCATTTTGAGAGGAAGATCTCTCGGGGAGCGGCTGATTTGGTTGTGGGCTCTCCTCTGCCGGTGGTGTCTCAATAATTTGAGGCACAGGGGAAGGGCTCGAGTGTGCCGCCGAGGTAGAGGATGACCGGGCGGGAATCACCTGGGCCTTTGGTGGAGAAGAAGGCGCGATGGGCCTCGCGGCTTCGTCCTTGATCGGCTCGTCTGACACCGTCGTTGACGAAGACGTAGATGCAGGGGATTCCCTCGAGAAGTTCTGTTGCCTTCGCACGGTACGAGTGGGGCGCGAGTAGTTCTCGGTGATAGGCTCGGACTGGACCCTGGTAAGGGGCTTCCCGATGGTCGGATCGAGTGACGGGTCAATCGCTGGGAGTGGTGGCAATTCCTCGTTGCTCTCCTTTTCGGTGTGCCTCGCCGCAAGCCGCTTCGAGAAGGTCGAGCGGTCCCCGTAACGTTGGCTTCCACCTTTTCGGTATGTCGTTTTCGTCGACCGCCGGAGCCCCATACCCGGGGCCATGGGAAGAATCGGGTTGTCGCCCTCGCTACCCTCTCTCGACTCCTGAGCCAACTTCTGCACCGCCTTGGTTGGATCTTTCACTAGCTCGGAGAGGCTGAGCTCAGCGGCATGGTCGTTCTCAAAACCTTCCCCACCTTCGGTCCCGTTGTTAACCTGGCGAGAGAGCATCGACTTCTTCCGTCTCAAGCTGCCCGAGTTATTCCGCTGTAATCCTTCGACGGAGAGAAACGAGTCCCCGGACCTCCGTTTTATCGTCTGCACCCGCTTCTCGAGGAAATTCTTAAAGGCGGTCGGCTCGAGTTCGGGGTGTACCCTGGCCGGAACCCAGAGCAATCGGGACGGGTCTGCCTCGTCGTCGTCGCCCATTGGTGCTATCGACGGCATTTCCATCACCGATACGCCAGAGAACTGCAAAAGGTCGGGGTCCGTGGTATTTCCAACATCCATCGACATCCTCCGCAGCGCCTGTAGGTTACTAAGCTCCTGGGCAATATCATTGGGATTGTCGATGCCTGCGAGCGGAAACTGCGAAGCCGCCTCGGCATCCTGGACGTCCCGCAAGGACGGGTTCGGTGATAATGGGGGTAGCGGGGATTTGGAACGCCCGTTCGACCCGTTCGTCTCGGCGGGTAGCCTCGCAGGGAAGGTCTGCGCTTTCTTAAGGGCAGGAGGGCCATTGACACCGTTGGGTTCGGGCGATAGATGCGTCGCATATTTCGGCTGGTCAGATGTGGTGCGCACCAGCCGCAGTCGGTCGCCGGCCGGGTCGCCCGGCTTCTGAGACTTGTCCAGGTTCTCGCCCCCGTACTTGGCCGCTATAAAACTCAGCGGGCGGTTGTCCTCGGTACCCGAGTCTTCGTCGTCGCCGTACATTGTGCCTATCGCTTCGGTGACGTGGTGGCTCGGGTCGGATATCGACAGTTGGCTAGCGTGACCGCGTCGGCTCGCAAAGCTACCACCCACATCTCGGAGTTGAGTCGAGGTCTGCGGAAGAGAAGGCGGTTAGTCGACTGTCGCACACAACCAATTCGTGGTCCACAAGGACCCATATTTTTAATCCATGCAAAACGAGCGGCCGTTCGGGAGACACGGGCCTCCATGCTGGAGCGGATGCGCAGCTGCGACCGAACGCCGAATGCATCATCCCGGGCGCGGGAACCAGGCACCACGGGGGTCTTGACATACCATCATCGAGACTTGGGTATCGGGGCCTCGGGGAGGCTAGAGCCCGGCGATCAGCGCCCTGTCTTTGTATTTCGATGACGGGGGATCAAAAGCGGACAATGTCGTGTCGTGTGTTTATCATCGGCGGGAAAGAGGGACACTGTAATTATGAGAACCGGGGCGAGTGCTTTTAGTCCCGTCGGCGGCGAATGGGAAAGATGCGCCTTCTGAGAAAGCGGCTCGGGGCTCGGCAACCAGGCGGGGCGAACGTCAGATCGAGTCCGTGAGAGAGCGGGAAGCTGTATCGGCTCGGCTCGTGTAATATTCTGCTAACTGGCCATGAAGGAGGGAACCGGGTGAGGACCGGGACTCGGGGTGCGTTTTCGGTGCCGTGAGAGTGTCTTAGTGTGTTGGGATTGTCGCGACAGCTGCTCACAGTCGACAGGGTAGGTAATAATGCTGTGCCGTCGGTGTTGCTGCTGTGTTCTGGGGTGCGGCGGCTGGCGGCGGAAGATAGACGTGCTACAAAGGCGTAGGTTGAGTTCTCGAGGCACAGAGAACAGACACAGCACAGGCGTGGATTGCGGATTGCCAGGATGGCGTCTTCTTCTGTGAGGAAACGGCAAAATCAGTCCCGCTGGGGGGCTGCCCTGTCGGGATTGGGGCGGTCGAGATCAGGCGCATCCCCCCAGGCCCTTGCAGTGGTGCATTAGCGAAGCCACCACAGCGGCCTCCATCACGTGTGCAGGGGTGCCATGGGTGCTGAATTTGGCGGCTAAGATCCACCATAACCCCCCCTTCGCACAACTCGCAACTGCCAGTGACTCTTTTTCACTTCATGTCAGATGCAACAGTCACGGAAGGTGCACCAACATACAGAAAGGATTTGACCGCCTGGAAAAGAACAAGGGTGTGCTATATTTTGTTCGCTCAAATGCTCAGTTTCATTCACTCACAGCTTCTCTCGTGGTTTCCCAGGTTGTATCTTTGTTTGATCCAGGCCTCCACAACGGCAACCACATCAAGGAGCACCACCTCCTGCCCGATTGAGCTACCCACCGGTTACTTAAATAACAACCTGGGTTCAAAGTCCCGCATTCTGTCAAGCCAGCCGTGTTTGCTGATCTTCAAGATCCCCAAGCTTGTTTCTTCAGAGCCGGCAAACCAGGCTAGCGAGGTCGGATCCGGACACTCCGGATCAGGTAATCTACACCGTTTTACATTGGTCGTTCATATCCCTACCTGGGAGGTACTTTTTTGTTTGGGCACGCTGTCCCTTGTTGTTTAGGATCGTGAAGCCGTTTCAATGTCTGGGGCTTCGGCCCCACCTCGCAACCATGTTCAGGGGCAATTGCCACCTCTTTCGTCTGGAGCACACTTTGAGGGCAGCTTCACACAAGCCAGCAACCCCCTTCTTCAACATGATTGCAGCGCTCTTGCAGCTGTCCCAAGCTAGAATTGGCTGCAACATACTGTGTAGGCGCTGGCCTGCTCCTCTGCATAATCCCTCCATCTCGGCAACCAATAAAAGCGGAGCGCAGCCATCCAACCCATTTGCTGGTGCCGGTTATGGTTGCAATGTCGGCCATGGCACGACTTCTGGGTGGATTTCTGGTGTATTACTTGATGGTGGCTGTAGGCAGGCTCAGGGAACATGCGCGGGGTGACGAGTTCGAGTCCCCGACAAACAAGGCAAGCTAGAAAGAAGGCTTCAACTTTTGTAAGGAAGCATACTTTGTTGTTTGTTTAGGGAGGTCATTTGATGGCCTGTACATGTATATACATGAGTTTCTAGACAACCAGGATCCAGGGGGCAGACGGAATCGGCCAAAGCATCGTAAGGCCTCCCCCATTCTCAAACCGAAGCCGGGTCATCATGAGTTTCTCTCGCACTTAAAGAACCCAACATTATACACTTACCCTTCCACCTCCGCCACTAGCGTATTACACCTCATAAAGGCTCCCCCCTCCCTCCGCTCCGGTTTCCCCCCCGCCGCTTACCCTCCTCAACCACATCCACCCACACTCCCGGCCGCCTCCGTCTCTCCGCCCCAACCTCCTCCAACACCCTCCCAAACCTCAACAGCTGCTCCTCAGCGCACCACTCCCCCATCGCCATCACCCCAACCGGCACATCCGGCGTCCCGCCCCGGCCCGGCACAAACCCCGCCGGCGCGCTCAGACTCGGCAGGCCACAAAAGTTCGCCATCCACACATACTCCATGCTCTGCATCGTGCGATCGCCATCATTGACCCCCCAGCGCATCTCCGCGCGCTCATCCACGATCGGCAGCCCTTCGCACGCCGTCGTCGGCGTGACGATCAACATGCCCGGGTGCTGCTGCCACAGCCACGCCAGGTGCTGCATCAGCAGGCGGCGCAGTTTCTGCGCGAGCAGGTAGTCGGTCGCGGGGGTGACGCGCCCCAGCGCGAGCAGGACGCGGTTGGCGGCGGTGAGCCCGCGCGGGTTGGGGAGCAGGGTCGCGGCGTCGGTGAGCACGGTCAGGGCGTGCGCGAGCTGCCCCTCGCGCAGGAAGGGGATGGTGATGTCGACGGTGGTGTAGCCGTGCGTGGTGACGAGCTGGCGGATGAGGCGGTTGCAGAGGGCTTGGATGGTCGGGGTGGAGCGCGCGATCCAGGCTTGGGGGATGCCGAGGATTTTGGGGTCGTTGGGGCGAGGGGTGCCAAGGGAGAGCGGGGTTGGGAGCGGGGGAAAGGGGGAGGAGGAGTGCGGTGCGGAGATGACGGAGAAGACGGCGGCGAGGGAGGAGATGTCGGCGGCGATGGGGCCCAGGCAGGCGCAGGTTATGCAGACGTTGGGACCGGGGCGGAAGGACAGGCGGCCGTGGGTCGGCTTGAGGCCGAAGACGCCACAGAGGCTGGACGGGATGCGGATGCTGCCTCCGCCGTCGCTGCCTAGGCCGATGGGGATCAGGCCCGCGCTGACGGCGTAAGCGGTGCCCGAAGAGGAACCTCCGGTGTAATAGTGGCGGTTGTGCGGGTTGCGAGGTGTGCCGTGGATTGGGTTGTTGCCCGTGGTGTCGAGGCCGAACTCGTGCATTGACAACTTGCCGAGGTTGATGGCGCCCGCAGCTTCCAGTTTCTCAACGCACCACGATGTGCCGTGATCCTCGTCTGGGGAGTAGTAGGTGTTCCGCGAGCCGAGGGAGGTGCGGTAGCCCTCGATATCGTATTCGTCCTTGACTGCCGTGGGTACCCCGTCCAGTGGCCCGAGGGAGCGGCCCTCTTTGTACCGCTGAGTCGACTCTCTCGCTGCGGCCAGAACCTTATCCACTCGCGTTTCGAAGAATGCTGTTGAATGCTCGGTTGGGTTGGGGACGTCCCGCCGGATCAAAGGTAAGAGGACCTCGGCGACATCGGTTGGCGTCAGGGTGCCCGAGAGATACAGTTTGCGGTAGTCGGAAACTGAGTAGTACTTGGCCTTGGGGTAAGCGGCCAACGGAGCCTCTGTTTCATCTTCTTCCGTCCTCGCGTTCCCGTCGTCCTCGCTGCTCCCTATCGTCGCCGGGCTTGGCACGACCTGCGGTTCAAACCACGGCTCATACTCCTCGATGAAAGGGGTGAGTTTCCTCAATGAATCGAACCCGGTATTGTGCCAAATGATTTCCCGGATGAAGCGAAACCATTCCATTCTGACAACCCGTCAGTATATGCATCGTTTTTGTCTGGGCTGGGTCGCCTACAAATACATTGCCGCAACAAGGACAAGGCCCCTCAGGGGAGGATTCTTTTTACTTTCATTTTTGTATGGGATATCTGGGCTGTACTGAGGTTAGTGACCTGGATATGGATTCACAGGCGGATTGTGTAATTGCCTGGACGCACCCTCTCAACGGCTCAGGCCCGTTGATGAATTTCTGGGGCTCCATATCCACCCCTTTTGTTACTGGAGAGAGCGTGGGGTTCGGGTTACTGTTGGTAACCGGAAAAAACTGACACCATGCGCGGGCGAGCACTTATATTTTAGAACAGATCTCACGGGTTCAAGTGAAAATATATGAAGGAACTCCGTTGAGTGGCATATCTCCTTCTTTGAATTTGCGTGCGTCGGTCGGCCGCGGGGCCCGGAAGGCGCCGGATAAGAAGTGGAAAGAAACATCGTTTGAGGAAAGCGATGTCTCAACTAGGCCAGGGGCCGGTAGAATCCCTGTCAAAGACTTCGGCGGTTGCGTGGCCTTCGATCTTCTTCCTTGCCTGGGATTGTCAGAGTGTCTTGATTGGATTGTTTTTTGTTCGATCTCGTGTGACGTTCCGGATTTGCAACGGATGCCGAGGCAGCACGGGATGCGATGGAAGGCTGGGGAGCTTCCATTCATCGGCTGTTTCTGAGCCACATATTGAACCATTTTATGGAGCTTTCACGCCAGTAAATCAAGAAAGAGAAAGAGGTGGGGGAAACCCCGAGCAGAAGAAAATAAATGAAAGTAATCCAAATAAAAAGTAGGCTTTGGGCCTCCGAAGGGCTTAGGTTCTTTTCGTTCCTCTCTTTAGTTTCCATGGGCTGTTTGTGCCACTTCGGAAGACTTTTCTGAGTGTTGATCGATCGATACCTCAATACGACTCAGGTACTTCGTCTGGGCACCTCACGCGGTGGGCCGTCTGTAACTGTTCCCCCCCGGGAAACCTTGTACATCAAGTAATTGTTGCCGACTTGCAACTGCTTGCGGTTGGTGGGAGATAGCCGACGGCCGCTCACCGCAATGGCTGACCATTTAAAAGGCAAATTGTGTGTTTGCACTCCATCGTCCGTGGGCAAGTGACGAGTCACTGAGGTCATCTGCGAGTCGCATCGACTTCGGCAATCTGGCCCGAGCGCCTGTGCTCCCAACAAACGGCCCAACATCCATGATGCTTGGGAGTCAAACACCCCCACTCTAAAGAGTTCCTCAAAACCAACTTGTATCGCACTTCGATCACGATGTCGTTTCAGCACAACGGCTTTTCTAAAAACCTATTCGTGTACAGACTTAACTATTATCCGAGCAGTGTATTTTTGCCCTTTTCCGGCGTGGTTGGCATTAAAAGTGGCCGGGGATGAAGGGAACACGCCCACCTGATGATGACGCAAACGGAGAGGTCGCCGACCAAAACCGAAAGAAGCTGCTTGTACGTCTGAGGGCCACGGGTTCTTATCAATAAGTTGGGGAGGGTGGCCATGGTAGCTCCTGGCGGCCGTGGCTAATTGTGGCTTGCAGTCTGAGTTTGGTTCGATCCTGGACGAGTCCCTGATACTTCTGGTTGCCGACGAGAGAGACATTGTGGGCGGATATGAGGAAATTCGGCAGGTTCTTAACGTGCTGACCGAAACAGCACGGGAAGAAGCCGCCACTGGTTTTGACCCCTCGGGTCTGAGCAGCGCGTCTGAGATTGGGGAATTCTCCCCTGACGACACAGCAACCAGTGGCCATGGGGTCGATTCGTCAGCCGAGTGCACCACCACCATCTCGGAGTTCTCAGACCGCTCCGAGGGCCAAAGACTCACTGAGCAGACAAACCTGAGCGAGGAGCAAAAGATCCAAGAACTTAAACTGGTTTTCGGAGACGGATGGGGTGACCACACTATCCGCTTCATACTCAAACAAAGTGAAGGCGATCTCGAGCGCGCGTTTGACGCCCTTCTCGTCCGCCAGTTCCTCAAGGATGAGGGTTCCCTCCCAAAGGGCGTTGATGGCTTTTTTGTCTCTGACGAAGATTGCCCGTCCCCCAAAGGTAGAGGGAGTCGTGCGCGGAAAGGGAATGCGAAAAACAAAAAGCAAACTGTCACGATCAATTACAATGCGGTGCTGTCTACTGTCGACGACGGGGAGCTCGAGGGCGCAAAGGATTTTGCCGCCGCGGCGAAGTCCCGGGTGCCAGCCGCACGGCCACGTCTTCCACCTTTTACCGCTCTGCCACTCAAAACGACCTTTGCCCAACAACCAGCATTGACATCGGTATCGCCGGTGACGACCGATTTCGCCTCCGAGATGCGCGCCGCCGCCGCCCTTCGAAGGATGGGCCCTCTTGGTCGCCAAGGGGCCGTAGTCTACACCGAGCGCGCTAGAGATGGGAGAGCGGCCTTCACAGCCAATGTCTCGCGGGAGGCTGAGGCGCACGTTGCTCAACAGAGCACGAGCACCATGCTTGACCTTCATGGCGTCTTCGTTATGGACGGAGTTCGCATCGCCAAGCAGCGGGTGTGGAACTGGTGGAACAACCTCGGCGAGGACCGCAAGACATTGGCGAAGCGGAACGGCTTCACTGTCGTTACCGGCGTGGGGAAGCACAGCGCCGGGGGGGTCTCGCGCCTGCGCCAGGCGGTTGGGGCGTATCTCAAGAACGATGGTTGGAAGATGGAAACGCTCACTGGGAGCTTCTATGTCACGGGGAGAGCTTGAGGGCTTGTAGACCTGTGCCTTTGTGCCTACGATACGGGGCTTGCGGTGTTGGGTGTATCGCCGGCTGGGATTGTTTACACTGGGTTGGCTTCATGGTCGCTTGGACCGGGTGGCATAGGTATTTGATAGGTGGTAACGGATACACTGTAAAGATATTCCATTTGTTTGGATGCGATTTGTCTATCAACCCTTTTGAGGTAGACGGACGGCAAGAGCACCGAACGGGATCATGTCACAGAGCATAGACTTGGTATTGGCGGTATCGATGTGCTGTATTGGATGACTACTCCGTAAATGGCTCTTCCCGAGGATAGGCGGTAACATACTTCGTATGAAGTAAACATACCAATTTGCATCTGCTTAGCGTGCTAGCTTCCCCGTGTTGTCGTGCCGTAGCCTCGGTTTTTGATGCAGCAGTGGTTTTGGTTCCTGACAGGAATCCCGGTGCAACCCCAGCCCAGCCAAGAAACGCCAGGAACAGCCCGAGCACCCACAAAGACCCACCAATCAGGGTCGATCTGTGCATCTCGCCCGCATGACGCATGACGGCATGCTGGTCGCTCTCACGCGGGCAAGGCAGAGGCGGTCGGCTCGTGCCCTGGGTCGCCGCCTTGGGGGCAAGCTCCTTCCGCTGTCAGCTCCCAACATCAACAACACCACAATCCAGCCTCTTCCCATCTCTTACGGACGCTGAAGGCATTGTTATTTGATTAGTTATTTGGATCGCCATTCCGTTTTGCCGCCGCGCGGCTTAGTAGCGACCATGACGAAACTCCCGAGATTGGTCGCATCGGGCGGACTCCTGTTGACGACAATGGGGTCCGCCGTCGCCGACACCATCTACACGCCGATACACGAAGCCGGTCGCTGTGCGATCCGAGGCCATTGTGGTTCGAAGAGCATGTTTGGCGGCCAGCTGCCTTGCGTCGACAATGGACTCGCCGAGGAGCCCGACGCCAAGTTGCGCCAGCAATTGACTGAGCTCTGTGGCCCGAAATGGTCTCAGGGTCCTGTCTGTTGCAACGCCGAGCAGGTCGACACGCTCAAATCCAATCTACAGACAGCAAATCAGATTATTTCGACATGCCCCGCGTGCAAGGACAACTTCTACAACATGTTCTGCACCTTCACCTGTTCTCCCGACCAGTCGCTCTTCATCAACGTGACAGGGACAATGGAGAAGAATAAGAAGACGCTGGTGACCGAACTGGATCAGCTGATCTCGGAAGAGTACGGGATAGGGTTCTACGACAGCTGCAAGGACGTCAAGTTTGGGCCGACAAACTCGAGGGCGATGAACTTGATTGGGGGTGGTGCCAAGGACTACACACAGCTACTCAAGTTTCTCGGCCAGGAGCGGTTTGGGGGTTCGCCCTTCCAAATCAACTTCCCGACAAGCTACGCGGACAAAGATATGAACCCGCTACCGATGAAACCGAAGAAATGCAACGATGAGGATCCCAACTTCCGTTGCGCCTGTATCGATTGCCCCGCCGTTTGCCCAGAGCTCCCGGCCGTCGAAGAGGCGGGATCCTGCCACGTTGGGGTCCTGCCATGCCTGTCGTTTGCGTCTATCCTCACATACAGCGTGTTTCTGTTCTTGTGCGCCGCCGCAGTGGTCGGCCATCTGGCCTGGAACAGGCATACGAGGCGGCGGAGCGAACAGCTCAGGCTCCTCACAGATGCGGCGCCGAGCGACGACGAGGACGAGGGTGGTATTACCGAAAACGGTGCCATGTTCGACCGGCCGCAGAAAATTTACAAGGTCAACACCTGGTGTGATGCCGCCTCGCCCGGCTCGGCCACACGGCTGCGAGGTTCCCTGCTCTGACCGTCGTCGGCAGCACCCTCGTGGTGCTCTTGCTCAGCGCCGGCTGGTTTCATTTTGAGATCGAAAAGGACCCAGCCCGTCTGTGGGTGAGCCCGACTTCGGAGGCAGCTCAGGAAAAGGCCTTTTTCGATGACAACTTTGGCCCGTTCTACCGAACCGAGAAGATCTTCCTTGTGAACGACCTGAACGCCTCGGCCCCTGGGCCAGTGTTGGACCGTGACACCCTCCTTTGGTGGTTTGATGTTGAGGCGAGTGTCCGAAATCTCAGGGGAAGCAAGTATGAGAGCACTCTCCAGGACCTTTGTCTCAAACCCACCCACGATGCCTGCGTTGTTCAGTCAGTCGCGGCATACTTCCACAACGACCCCGCGGAGGTTGATCGCCTCAACTGGAAGGCCAAGTTGAGAGAATGCGCCGACTCACCGGTCAACTGCCGCCCTGATTACGGTCAACCCTTGGAACCGAATATGATTCTCGGAGGTTACGCGGAGTCTGGTGACCCCGCCGACGCCACAGCCATGACAGTGACCTGGGTTCTGAACAACTACCCAGAAGGGTCTCCCGAGGCAGACCGCGCCATGGATTGGGAAGAGGCTCTGAAGAATCGACTGCTGGAACTTCAAGATGAAGCCAGCGAGCGGAACCTCAGGCTCTCCTTCTCCACCGAAATCAGTCTGGAGGAGGAGTTGAACAAGTCAACCAACACCGACGCCAAGATCATCGTCATTAGCTACATCATCATGTTCCTGTACGCTTCGATTGCTCTCGGGTCTACAACGCTGTCGTTCCGAGAGCTCCTCCGCAATCCTTCCATCTCTTTCGTGGAATCCAAGTTCACTCTCGGCGTGGTGGGGATTGTCATCGTGCTTATGTCCATCACGGCGTCTATTGGACTGTTCTCCTGGGTGGGCCTCAGGGCGACCCTTATCATCGTCGACGTCATTCCCTTCATTGTGTTGGCCGTCGGCGTGGACAACATTTTCCTCATCGTCCACGAGTTTGAGCGGGTAAACATCAGCCATCCTGATGATGTGGTCGAGGTCAGGATCTCCCGCGCGCTTGGCCGCATGGGTCCTTCGATTTTGTTTTCGGCCATCACCGAGACCGCATGCTTTGCGCTAGGCGCATTTGTTGGCATGCCGGCTGTGCGCAACTTCGCCATCTATGCGGCTGGCGCCGTGTTCATCAACGCGATCCTCCAGGTCACCATGTTCGTCTCGGTTCTCACGCTCAACCAGATTAGAGTTGAGGACTTCCGCGCGGACTGCTTCCCCTGCGTACAGGTCAAGTCAGCGAGGATCCACCTGAACGCTAACGGCGGGAACCACGGGGCTCGGTTCTACGAGGCACCATCGGAAAGCTTGCTGCAACAGTTCATTCGCAAGTCGTACGCTCCTAGGCTGCTGGGGAAGAAAACCAAGGCGGCTATCATTGCCATTTTCCTGGGTATCTTCGCTGCCGCGGTCGCGTTACTCCCCGAGGTTGAGCTTGGACTGGATCAGCGGGTCGCGATCCCCGACGACTCTTACTTGATTCCGTACTTCAACGATCTTTACGATTACTTCGACTCCGGTCCGCCTGTCTATTTCGTCACGCGCGGATTCAACGGTACCGAGAGGGAACAGCAGCAAAAGATCTGCTCTCGCTTCACCACCTGCGAGCAACTGTCTCTTACCAACATCCTCGAGCAAGAGCGGAAGCGGGAGGAGGTATCCTACATCGCATCCCCGACGGCCGGCTGGATGGACGACTTCTTCCAGTGGCTAAACCCCGATAACGAGCAGTGCTGCGTGGACGGCCGCAAGCCCTGCTTCTGGCGGCGCGACCCGACATGGAACATTAGCATGGCCGGCATGCCTGAAGGCGACGAGTTCGTTCACTACCTCGAGAGGTTCCTCACTGCGCCAACCACTGAGGACTGCCCCCTCGCCGGTCAAGCCTCGTATGGCTCGGCCGTCGTCGTCGACGCGGATCACACCACCATCCGCGCCAGCCACTTCCGCGCTATGCATTCTCCTCTCCGCAGTCAAGACGACTTCATCAAAGCCTACGCATCGGCCCGCCGCATCGCGCGCGATGTCAGCGCCAGCACGGGACTCTCCGTCTTTCCCTACTCCATCTTTTACGTCTTCTTCGACCAATACGCAACCATCGTCCAGCTGACGGCCGCCCTCCTCGGCTCGGCCGTCGCCGTCGTCTTTGTGGTATCCGCCATCCTGCTCGGCTCAGTCCTCACCGCTGCAGTGGTGACCGTCACGGTGAGCATGGCGCTAGTCGATATCCTCGGCGCCATGGCGCTCATGGGCGTCAGCCTGAACGCGGTGTCGCTGGTCAATCTGATCATCTGCGTGGGCATCGCGGTCGAGTTCTGCGCCCACATCGCGCGCGCCTTCATGTTCCCCAGCCGCACGTTCATGGAGCGGGCCCGCAACCGGTTCCGCGGCCGCGACGCGCGCGCCTGGACCGCGCTTGCCAACGTCGGCGGCAGCGTCTTCTCGGGCATCACCATCACCAAAGTGCTCGGCGTCGCTGTGCTCGCCTTCACCCGCAGCAAGATCTTTGAGATCTACTACTTCCGCGTGTGGGTGGCCCTGGTGATCTTTGCCGCCACCCACGCGCTCGTCTTCCTGCCTGTCGCCCTGTCGCTGTTCGGCGGCGAGGGCTATGTCGACCCGGAGAGCGAGGGCGGGCTGGAGGAGGACCTCGCCAGTCGCCGGTATCGCGGCCTGGCGTCGGGAGAGGGGTCGGATTCGGAAGATGAGGAGAACTAGAGGGTTTTCGCGTCTAGGGCGCTGTCTGGGCCTGCGTCTGCGCCTGCGTCGGGGTCGAGGGATACGGGTAAGGGTAAAGCCAAAGCTGAGTTTGGGTATGAAGGTGGAACTGGGCCTGGGTCTGGGTCTAGGTCTGGATCGAAGGGCAAGGGCGTAGCTGGGACTGAAGCTGGGACTGAAGCTGGGACTGGAGCTGGGACTGGAGCCGGCACTAGAGATGAGGGGGACTGGAACTGGGGCTGACACTGGAGGGGGGACCGCGTCTTGGAGTGCGTGTGGGGTTACAGATGCGGATGCGAAACGGGGGAGGAACTCGGAAGGCTTGCCGAGTTCGGGGCCGCGCCGAGGATCGCCGTCGACTCGCCCAGAGACATCTTTGGTATCGTTGTCAATATCATCGGTAGACTCGCCGAGCTTGCCCCCAGATTCGCTGCCGGCACCGCGCACCGGGCCGCCGTCGGGGTCGGTGCCGAAGGAGCCCATGACTCTCACAATTACCAACACTTATTCGACTACTGGCCGGGGGGCGTTCATATCGAGCGAAGATATCGTCGCTTCGCCCCCTCAAGAGGGCACGGAAGGGCCGTCCACGTCCCCAGACTATGAGGCTGATGTCGATGAAGCCCCACGGCGGCGGCCATCACCTCCTCTGGATGCTTTGTTTGCACCTACTGCCAGAGCGGGTGCTGAACCGGCGTCTAGGCCTCGAGCTCGACCTCAACCTCCGTCTGCCGCTGACCGGCGGGAGTCGGCCCCTGGCGGGACCCTTTCATTCCCAGAGCTGGACATGTCTTCCCAGGAAAACGAGCCGTCGGCACTCGGGGTCATCCTCGCCGCGATGGAGAGCGACGATGCTGCCGCCGCTCGTGAAGGGGAGGTTGCGGACGAGGGGAAGTGAGTGCTAAGCTGTGATGGGAGCGAGGGTTTCTTTGGTTTTAGGGATATGGGAATAATACGAGCCAGCCAGCATTCGGATACATGGAGTAGGCGTTCTTTTCATTTGCTTTTTATTCGACTCTGGTGTTGTTTGTCAAGGGAAAGCGTGAAGTAACATAGACGGGCATTGTTAGTACCTAGTTCACAATAATACATGCAGCGTTGTATAATGGGTCAAGTTTGCAGTGCAGTATTCGTATTACTATTTAATCCGAGACTCTGTCTGGGTAGTTATCATGTTTTGCCTTGTTCAGGGGAAGGTTGGGCTTATGTAAGCCATGCTGGGTCTCAACTCCCAGCTCCAGCGCCCAAATCATCTGCCGAAAGGTCCCAAGACACAGAACCTCAGCGGTGCAGCAAGGCTAGCGCCACGGCTCGACACGGCCTTCGGCATATGTTTCAACCACTCTTTGAACCCTGCTTCTCTACGCAATCCGCTGAAGCGAGGCAGGGCGGTGCAGAGCAGACATGCTGGAAACGTTCCCGGCTGAACCGCTGCTCCTGCTGCTGTTGCATTTGATCTGCTTCCGATCTCAGGTGATTGATTTGATGCATTCCCGAACGCGAAGTCGCGAGGGTCGTTCGTTGACTCGAACCGTCTTTCCGGATTTGTGGGCGATCGTTGGTTTATCGTTCACATCCTCCACCTCAGGACACTGCTGGAACTCGCGATGCATCATCATTTGGGCGGGCAATCGGTCCGACTGGCGCGCTTCAAGTCGTTGTCGCTGGAGTGATGCGGTTGTTGCCAGCTTGGATGGAGACAGACGGATGGATGGATGGGTGGATGGGTGGATGGATGGATGATGGAGACACGGACAATCTTGATCTCGCAGCTTCCCGCGTTTCGGCATGTCATCATGTGTAGGTTGAGATCTGAGATGGCATGGATGGCTACCTGCCTTCGGTGTGCGCAGCGCAGATGGGATGGAATGCAGACAGACTGCTGGGTAACCCAAATGCGCCTGTTGCTACTCTGCGGTAACCTCGCCGTCCCATGATGTTTCCTTTTGATACCACCTTTTTTCTGAGGTTCTTGGTTCTATCTTGCTCACTGTCCCAGAAAACACCCAAACGACCGCCTCGCCCACAGCCATCTCCATGCCGTGATGCCATCCGGTGGTCCACCAGGTGACAGGGCCCCGTGGGCTGGTGCAACCACAACCATTGCCAAGAGGACGGGAAGTCCATGTGGGGATGGGGAAGTTGTGGAAGTTGGGGGGCTTGCACACGCTTCTTTGGTTCCCGCCAAGGCTTGGGGGTGCTCGTGGCTAGTCCCAGCCAGACCGGCGGGATTCCAGGTCTGGGCTGGGAATTGAGCTGAGCGATTGGACCTGACATCTGCCGATGGGTGGATTATTGGGGGTGGAGGGAAGGAAGGGAAAAAGAATTGGGGCTTTTTGGAGGCTTGCCGTTGCCCCTCCCCCTCACAGCTCACTGAATGGCCTGGCACTCCACGGCTCGACGGGCCCACTGAAGTGGACACTCCCGGCATGGTTCATGTGAATCCCGGGCATCGGCAATACAGTTCCAACAGTAACAGTTCCAACGTCGCTTGTCACGGTCTGTGTGGACGCGCTGGTGTGAGAGTTTAACCCACCACCCGGGAATGGGATGAAGGGGGGGATGGAGAACGGGGAACAAGAACGGGGTTGGCTGTACTTGGTAAGACGCGACGGATGACGTGGTTGCCAGCAATCTCACTCACACTCATACCCGCACTCACACACCTGTCCAGCTCTCTCTCTGCCGAAAGGGAGCTACCGAGTGTACCGACATGGCTCGGTTTCATGCCTCGAACTGGTAGTTGGTTACGTGCTGGCTACCCTGTTCCCGGGTTTCCGAATCCTGCACCGGGTCTAGTGCCACGATCCCCTCCTCCTCCTCCCTGGGGACAGGGACGGGCAGAACCTGCCGGGCGTCTCTCGGGATGTGGTTCACATCGAGGAATTCCACGCCTCGCCATCCGGGCACACAACCGTCGGCTGAGACTGGCTCGCTCCCGGGTTGGGTTAGCTGATTCTGCAATATCTTCCCGCCCCATGGCATGCCGGGATCGCTTGTGCAGGACCGCCGGCCGGGGACTGGTCCCCTGCTCAAGATTGACTATCGAGGGTAGATTGCTCCCCGATTCGTCCTGCCTGACAAGTGGCTGTTCGACGGCCTACCCCGACCGCATCCCGTACAGCTCGGCATTAGCGGGTACCCACCCCTGACGGACGCCTCGTTTAAAGATAAAGAGGCACGCATACACCCCCCCGTCATACTAGGTAGGACTGGTGCGCACCCCAATCCCATTCAACACCCTCCTACTCGCGGAGTTGGCCTGGCCTTTTCAACAAGGAAACGCCCCGCCGATCAGTCTCGAGCATAATGATAACAGACCAGATAGCTCAGGTCCTGAGCCAACACTGGCTGCCTATCACCCTCGCTGTCGTCGTTGCATGGCTGGTGAGGAATAGGTATCACAATGGGCTCAACAAGTACCCCGGGCCGTTCCTGGCCTCCTTGACAGACTGGTGGAGGTTCTTTGATGTCTACGGGCGACGGCCCGAGCGGTCACACATCGCCCTCCACAGGAAATACGGCCCTGTCGTCCGTCTCGGGCCAAACACCCTATCGTTTTCCGACCCTGACTCGTTAAAGACCATCTACGGGCTCAACAAGGGCTTCATCAAGGTGTGTTTAGGTGATGTGATATAGCGTTCACCAGCCAGGGACCATGCTGACCGTGCCGTCCAGTCCGACTTCTACGTCGTCCAGCAATCCGTGGTTAAGGGTCACAGCCTGCCATCGCTCTTCAGCACCACCGACAATGACTTCCACATGCAGTTCCGCCGCTGCGTCAACTCGGCCTTTGCCATGTCCGCCCTGGTACAGTATGAGCCGTTCGTCGACAACACGACCAAGCTGTTCCTGAAGCAGACAGAGCGCTTGTACATCGACAAGCCGGGGACCTGCGACTTTACCCAGTGGCTCCAGTTTTACGCTTTCGACGTCATCGGCGAGATCACCTACAGCAAGCGCCACGGCTTCATCGAGAAGAACGAGGACGTCGACGGGATCGTGGCCTACCTGACCAAGCTGTTCCTCTACGTAGCACCCGTACATGTCCCCCCCTCCCAACCAACCTTCCTCACCACCACCAATATACTAACCCCCCGCCCTTCAGATCGGACAAATCCCTTTCCTCGACCGCCTCTTCCTCAAAAACCCCCTCTACCTCAAGCTCTCCGAATGGGGCATCCTCGACGCCACCTTCCCCGTCGCCAAGTTCGCCCGCGCCCGCATGGCCGAACGCCTCCCCGAACTCTCCACCAACGGCGAGCCGGTCCTCCCCACCTCGGAAAAACCCACCGTCAAATCCCCCGACCTGCTCTCCAAATTCCTCGCCGCGCGCGAGGCCCGCCCCGACTTCATGACCGACACCCTGGTCCAGACCATGGCCGTGTCCATGGCCTTTGCCGGCTCCGAGACCACCGCCATCTCCCTCTCCGCCGTCTTCTACTTCCTCCTCAAAACCCCCGCCGCCCTGGCCCGTCTGCGCCGCGAAATCGACGACGCCGCCCGCGCAGGCCGCTTCTCCGACTACGAGACGGGGCTGGTTACTTGGCATGAGAGCCAGGCCCTGCCCTACCTCGACATGTGCGTCAAGGAGGCTTTTAGGTTGCATCCCGCTCCGGGACTGCCTATGGAGAGGGTTGTGCCGAGGGAGGGGTTGGAGATTGCGGGGAGGAGGGTGGAGGGGGGGACGGTGGTGGGGTGCTCGGCGTGGGTGTTGCATAGGGAGGAGAAGGTGTTTGGGGAGGATGTGGAGGTGTATCGGCCTGAGAGGTGGGAGGTCAAGGGGGAGGGGGATGAGCAGAGGGTGAAGGTTATGAATGGCACGATGCTGCAGTTTGGGATGAGCAGTCGGACGTGTAATTGGGGAAGAATATTAGTAGTGTGGGAGATTATAAGCTGGTACCGGAGTAGTGAAGGCGGGTTTGAAGTAAGTGGTCTTTCGTTCTTTATTTGTTGGATATCACTGACTGACGGGCTTCTAGATCCGCTTTGGACGACCCCGGCTCGAATTGGAGACGGTCAATGCCTGGTTTGTCAAGCAGAATAACTTTGTACGCGCTTTGACCTGCGGGATATCGTCATGCCCGAGAAGGGGGTCAGTGTTGGGGAGAACTAGGGGGTTGTTTTCTTATTGCATTGGGGCGGGTTGTATTGTCTATTTCGCTCTGGCTTAGATGGTTGCTGGTGTCATTCACCTAATGATGCGAATCACGACTACTTGAACATACCACATGATGCTTCCTAGGATACTGCATGTGTTCAATCCCGGCCAACCAGGTTGTCTTTATTCTTTCCGCTATGTTCACCCTCTCGACGCCCACTTTGCCCGCTATCTAAGTTCTACCACTCCCTTCTCATTCCACCCCCACCCTCAAACTCACAGATTATCGTAAGAAGAACCGGCAGCTCTCATAAAATAAGGCACATGATTCAACAAGAACACGCTTTGCCAGTGGTTACCAAGCGTCTTCGCTACGGGCGACGCATCAACACAATCACCTTGTTTCCCCATCAAACCCCTTGCCTTGACTACCATAAAAAGGCCTACCTTATCCTATTCCCACCACCCATCTTTTTAATCTAACCTTCCGAACAGGCACAGGGCCACTAGTTAGCAAACTAACCCAACCCACCCACGCCACAACCTTACACACAAAATGGTGGGCATAGGCTTCCTCGAAACCATCTGCTGCTTGCGGCCCCTTCCCGATCCCCCGAAGAAGCGGAAGAGCAAGAAGAGCAAAAGTAAGAAAAAGAGAGAATCCCACCATCAATCAAGCAAAAGCAAGGGAAAGGACAAGGCGACCGTGGATAATACGGATCGGGTGGAGTACTGGGTGGACAGTCAAACAATGATAACGGAGAGGGCTAACCGTGACAAGCAGCGGTATGCCGAAGACGAGGAGCTGGAGGCGAGGTTGAACAATTTACCACATGCTGAAAGCTCGAGGCGCGCGGGACCCTCCGGTTGGTAGGGTGTATGGGATGATATATCCTTGTTATCGTGCTTTGTTGCGGTCTTCGTCGAGTGACAGGCCCAATAAGAGGGTGTAAATCAAACTAGCCATACTATTAACCTACTGGCCACTGTTCTGTTTCCCAGCCATGGGAAAAATGGTAGGTCAGTATGTTCAACGATATACTACCTCGTGCCCACTAACGGTCTGGATATGTCCTCCCTTCCTCGAGCCATCAAACGGTAAACATCTCCTCTCGACCCGACCCGCTCCTCAAAAGATTAGAAAATGACCAGTGAAGACAGCTGATGAATATCTACCCTTTGATTCTTGGCCACTCCTAAGCGCAGAAAAATTATTTGTCCATTCCACTTTCCTGATCTCATTCGGACGGCAAAAGTCGAAAGAGAATAAAGATTCTAACAAAGCGTCAGCCGCCGTACCGAAGGACTTTGTATCGCGTGTCCCGTAGGGCCATCTCAAGACAGAACAAAAGCCGCTTCCACTGTCCTGTGGCAAAACCAGGCAGAGCAGTGACACCAAACAACCCCAAATCGCATCCTTTGACACCAACATGTTCCCAAATATAACCAGAACTGAACAGTCACATGTTTATACATTAACGTAACCGTCCGCTTCACACTGGGTACATTCCCATCCACCACCTCCCTCCTCATTGCCCAACGTCCACCACCATTATAAGAACCCCTCCAACACTCCAGTCCAGAAGCCCTAACAACTCCCCAACCAACTCAGCAACACCCCCCAACACCAGCACAACCAACCAACCAACAAAACCAAAACCCAACAAACCTCAACCCCAAAACATCAAACACCATGGGTGCCGTCCTCTGCGGCGTCTCGTCCTCCGAAGAGAGGAGGAGCTCCTCTCACCGGAGCGGCGGCGGCGGCGGTGGTCGTCGTGGTGGCAACAACAGCCGGTTTGCAGACCTAGACGACAGACAGTCCCGCCGCTCGGCTCCCCGGAGGTGGGAGCGTGGGAATATTGCGAGGAACTATGCGAGGCTGGATGATAGGACGATCGGCGAACGTAGTAGAGGGTTAGTTGCTGTGGTGTGTTCGGGGATGGGTTGAGGGTGGCTTTGTTATGGGTTAGGGTCTGTGTGGGGGAGGGAGGGTAGGTTATGGGCAGGACCGGCGAGATTCTCTTCTCTTCCTAAGTCCTGAGGTGGTATGGGTGGGAGAGGGAATGGCGTGAAGAGAGAGAGTGGATAAAGAATATATTCATTCTTCTCTGGGTCTGAATATAACTCCATGGACCAAACCTGGGAGAAGCGAATTCCAAGCTGTAAATATTCTGCCAACATTGATAACAAGATGGACAAATAGATCCCTACTTTTGTGTTAGTTGACCCCATACTTTCTCAACCCCTTTGTGCCTGGAGGAACTCCAGGTTCCTTAAGTCAAAAAACGGTGTCATTTCTAACCTGTACTGTCAACTTCTCACTGTAGAATTTTGGCTTTTTTCTCCTTTTCGACTTCTCTCGATGGCATCTCGATGTCTGGCGTCATCTGCATTCTGCTTCCTTGAATCAGCATCTCGCAGTTGGTCTTGGCGGTGGTAGTGCACGGACCATTTGATGCTTTGACACCTGGCCAATCGGATCGCCGAGAAAAGCCGCTAACCCGCACTTGGCATCAGGGCCATTCCTGGAACCACGACTACAGAGAACAACGTCAACATTGCCAAGATTGCCTGGCTCAGCAGGAAGGATACAAGCAAGGCCTACGGCTCGATAGTCGTTTACGTGACGAAGGGTAGCGAAGCAAATTGCTTCTTTGACGCACAAAATACACGGAACCTATCAGCTCTTTGAGATTACGCCACAGAGGTTAATCTTTACGGGATCTGATTACTGAAGCCCCTAGATGACGATATAGCTTACTGGAGACTCAAGAATGCGGCGTCATACATCGGCGATGAGGTCAAACCGGTGCTAGAGGCCACCTTTTTTACACCGCGGTGCTCCATTCTCCCAATCCAAGGAACTCGATACGTTCTTTCCATCCCGATTTTCTGACCTAAACTACAATCATCTCCTGATGCTGTTTATAATTCCATTGAAGTCAAGATGGCTTCTTCTTCCGCCTTTAACAATTACATCGTTGACTCCGCTATGGGGCCTACCTGCAGCCGGCAAGTTCCTCCAGGCTCCTTTGGCGTGCCCGCTGCGCGCGGGCACGGTCACTCCTGTCGATGGGCTGTGCCAAGCCCGGCTTTCCTCCGATAAGGTTGTATTATTTCCAAAACCTGCATCAAGGCACGATGGCTGAGTGGTCTAAAGCGTGAGACTCGAAATCTCATCTCTTCGGAGGCGTCGGTTCAAATCCGGCTCGTGTCGACTTTTGTCCTACTCACAACACACAATGTGTGGAACAATGTTTTTTACACCATACCCACTCCTAATTAAAGTGGACGAATGAATCGTTTCTCATACCAGGTTTCTTTTCTAACGTTCGTCTTCCTCTTTTTCGACTATATTATGCTTCTGTTTCTTCTCTTGCCTCACTCTTTTTAGCAAATTAGTGAAATTACAACCAGCATCTTGCATGGTCAGCAGGGCAGCATGGTGAGGTAGGTAGTTATATTCGGCTCCAGGGGACTGAGTATTTATGAGACACTGCAAAACAGGGTAGTGGTAGTCATGGTAGGTATCATGCACTATTTTTAAGACGCTTGTGGAAATCCAGGCACATAGCCATTGTCTCCCAACGCTCGCAAGTTGAAACACACCCTCTACGTCGCCTTCCGGTCCCAAGCCCCAAGTTCCATCACAAACCTCACCAGTCCAGTCACCCCCCCCAAATCACCCCCTTCCCCCCCCGCTCCCCCTTCACTACTCACTGACACTGCGAGTAGTAGTCATTCGACACGCGACACGCGCCCTGCGAGCAGCACTTGGCGCCCGTCCAGCCCAACCCGCCGCACTGGCCCCACAGCGCCGCGCAGTTGGCACCGTTTGTGGGCTGCGACCCGCCCGCGCTGGTCGTCGCGGGGGCGCCACCGCCGCCGCCGGAGGAGGACCCGCTCAAGAAGGCAATCAGCTTCGGCCCGACCGCCTGCGCGATGAACTTGTCGCCCTGGTCGTTGGGGTGCACGCCGTCGCCCCGCAGCATGTTGTTGGTGAAGCCCGCTGCCCGCGAGCAGTCGGCGATCACGATGGGGGATTGCGTGGTGGTGTGCGAGGACACCCAGCCGGGGATCGCGGTGTTGACCGCTTCGACGGTCGCGTCGCTCCAGGAGGTGGGGATGAGTTTGTCAATCTGCATCATTGTCATTCAGGTTAGATTTCTATTGGTGTGGGGAGGGGAGGGGGGTGCAGGCTGGGGAGTACTGACAATGACTTTGACGTTGGGGTTGGCGGCGCGCATGGCGTTCAGCATGGTGGTGTACGAGTCGATGATGGACTGGGCGTTGCGCTTGCCGATGTTGACGTCGTTGGTGCCGAGCATGAACTGCACAATGTCGGGCTTGGTGTTCTGCACCCAGCCGACGATGTTGTTGCGCGCAATGTCGTACGCCTGCCACCCCGAGTGGCCTTCGTGGTTGGCGTCGAATCCGGACGGCTTCTGGCACGACCCCTGGATCGAGTTCATGCTGCCGACGAAGTCGACGTTGCCCGCCAGCCCGGCCGCCGTGAGCTGGTCCCACACCATCGGCCGCCAGCAGGTGATCTCCGTGATGGAGTCACCGAGCAGCACTGTTTTTGACCAGGTTAACTTGAGGTTCTTCATCGTAACGCGATGCACCGCGCGCCGTGGGTGAGGGTGCTACTTACTGACTTTGACCTTCTGGCCATACGCCGTGGCCGCAAGGCCGGCAGCGAGGGTAAAACCGGTGAAGCGCATGTTCACGATCACGAAGAGATCAGGTAGGTATAGTCCGTGGTCCCAGAAATCACAAACAGCCGTGCCCGCCCGACCGGGACCAAGAGCTTCAACGCCGCCATTTTATGTCCTGCTTCAATGCTAGCGGGAGGTGGTCACCGTTCCGAGGTTGCCAAATCTACGTTAGTACCTGGGCTCGGTAGCGTACTCGTGTCGTACCCGGCTAATTACAAGGCATGTTCCGTCGCCTCGGCCCACCGCGTCTTCCAGAACCAGCAGCCAAGGAGAATATTGGCCTGTCGTTTCAGAGAAGGCGGGGTTGGCTAGCGGAGGCATCCTGGACGTACGGAAGTTAAGAATCGCTTTGGAACTGGTGGATAATATCCATAGCCGTAACATTTGAGGGTATCCGACAGCATGGCTACGCGCGCCAATAGGGTTGATACCAAAAAGACCAGGGGAGAGCCTCGCTCTATTTATACCAGGGACGCACGAGGACAGAGTTACAGGTATACAGGTTTCGGCAAAAGTGCTAGACCAGATTCGGAAGGGTCCTTTTTACCGGAGAACCGGGGAGTCAAACGACAGCATGCTGAAGAACATGAATTGTGTACGTACCTATCTAGGTATGTTAATAGCACTTACAAAGCTACCGGTCCAGTCACTGACAATCCACCACCATCCCCTCTCCGGCCTCTCCTTTTACGGATCTGTCCTCGACGTCATCATGTCCTCATATCCTTTCTGCCTGTAATTGCGATCATAAGCGTAGATGCCTACACCGATGAAGAAAGCAAGGGCAGCAAAAATGAACAGGGCAGACATAACGCACAACGCCCAGAAGATGTTGCACCGGGTCCCCATGATCCCTGGGACGCATGCTGCGTAGTTCAACTCTCTAAAATGGCCAAAGATATCCGTGACCTGTGGAGTCGGGGTCGCAGTCGGGGTTGTGGACGACATCGTGACATGAGTAACGGGGGGTTCTGTAGTTGGTGCCTGACTGGTACCTTTCATTCTCTAACCCAACAGGCAGTTGTTGTGTCTTTTATACTCCCATATTGGCAAAGAACAGGTAAATTAAAATCAATTAACGGAAGAAAGCAGATGATACGTATATTTTCATTGACCAAACAGTTCCATTAGTGTCTAGGTAGTTACCTGGGTAGGTACCCGGCCATTAAATGTTCAGCACACGGTACACTTTCCTCTATCCAAGTTCCATTGTCCACCGGATCGACAGAATATTCATTGGTCGTTAACGTTGGTTGTTCTATTGTTAGGTCCAAGTTGAGTGGGAAAAAAAGAAAAAAGAAAAGAAAGACAAGTAACCAGTCTATTTCACGATACGGCCCCTTTGTTTGCGGGCGAGCTCTTATACCCTGTGGTTCTGACCACCCCTTAACCACCAAGCCATTGGGGCGGTCGGTGATATTGGGCAGTCGCAACTCGTCTCCAAAGAGGATTTTCAATGCATTTTCTTTTTTTCTTTTAGTCTTCTTTTCCGCTTTGTTATCTCATCTCCGTACCGCCATCGATGACGGGTTACCTTAGGTAGGTAGTATGTCTTGAGTCCCACCGTAGTCAACCACTCAATAGGTACTTTGCAGAAGCACTTCGTGGTACACCTCACCAGATCTAGGGCGCTTCTCGGGCTCCCAGGCCAGCATCTTGCGCAACAGTGTCGCCATGCTTCCAGCCTTTCTAGGTTCGACCTCCCCCAGCTGATCTTGCAACCTCTTTGCCGGCTGTTTTTTGTCGAACCACTCCTCAAGACCCTTGTCGCATATCGTTTGCGGGGGAACACCGATTTTATACTTGCTCCATTGGTACTTCCCAGCCCAGCTGTCAGGTATCGGCCCCAAAAGTCTTGTCATCTCCCGAAGCGGATGATCGTAGCCGTTACCGAGTAGGAAGGGAAAATTTCGCGTTTGGACCAAGAACAAGAGGCACGCAAGCTGCCAAATGTCGCTTTCCCGAGAGGTTAGGTGCCCAAATAGCAGCTCCGGAGGTAACATAGCGGTCGGGCGCTGCTGAAGTGGTGACCGCGGCATGGGTTGAGTGAATGCTCTTCCGAAGCTGATGATGGTGACTTTTTTGAGAGAGTCAAAATCGAGGTTTTGAAAGCTTGCCGTTTCGATAACGCAACGGGGAGCGTGCTTTGAGACGGGGCTACCGTCGACTCGTCTGATTGTGTGGCTCACGACACCAGGAAGCATACCACGGAGGGATGCCTCGGAGATATTTTCAATCCTGGGTATTGTAAACCTCACGTTGAGGGGGTTTAAATCTGTACTCTTTGTCAGTGATATGAAACAAGTTAAAGCGTAATGACAGCTTCTTAAACTTACCAGTGTGGCAAATGTCAAACGCATGAATGTAGTTGACGGCATGGGCCAGCTGTTCACACACACTTTGGCGTGTGTCACAGCTCATCGCTTCCAAGACTCGTTTATCACAGAGACTTGGGCCCAATAACGGTAAGACGATGCAGCAGTGGTCGCCGTTAGCACTGCTGACAACGAACGAGTCCTGAATGTGGATGAGCCCTGGATGACTCTCTTTGCGTCGCTGTTCTAGGGACCAAAGTGTTCTCAACTCAGGGTACGTTTCCGGGGTGCTGAGGTCGGCGCGCAAGATCTTGAGAGCATGGAAAGAAACCTTGCTGGTCTTGTCGTCGTTTTCATGCTCTCGTTTTACTAGCCAGACAGTCGAAGAACGGCCAAACCCAAGCTTGTGGATAACAGTGTAGAGATTCGAGCCATCGCGGATTTGGCGACCAATATCCATGGGGTAATACCCTCCAGGGAGGTAGCCCTCGGGGCTTTCGGCGTCAATAGGACCTAGATCTTTGTAGACTGGGCCAGGTTCCCAAGAGTCAGCCTTAAGAGTGGCCATTGTAGAATCGTCCATGGCTGTGTTGGTGTAGAAGTCGACGCTTGACGGGAAACCCAAAGATGGACGTCTGTTTGTTTTCCAGGCGTGTTGGGTACATATACCTGCCTTCCCAGGTCCATGCCATCACAAACCTTGCTGTATTGTACGAGGAGCCGCCAATTTCTGTTTACCCTTTGTGTTGGCTGTCCGCATTGTCCTTAGTGACACAGCCATGTGGCGTGGCAGATGTTCTTTATGCTTAGGTGGTTTCCATCCGAGTCCACAACAACTTGTCTACCTGGGTCACGAGTCCAACGATGGCATGGCGACCACGCGTTGTTCAGAAGGCACCCCGACTATTCACTTCCCTCCCTCCACCTCATACCCATAATGCCACCCCTCGCCCTCCAAGTCCCTCCTCACCTTATACTCCCTCTCAATCGCCACCACCCCCTCAAATCCACCTCCACCACCCGCATCCCCTTCCCAATTCCTCTCCAACCCCTCCCCTCCAACCCTCCCCACCACCGGCACCACCACCTGACTCAGCCCCGGCGCATTACAATACACCACCACGCACTCATTCTCAAACGCCCTCGCCACGAGCACGCTGTTGATAGCAGCCCTTCACAATCCGGGTTCAGGCGCAGCCGCGTCGCGTCCAGGTCGCTCGTGTCGCACACCTAGAAGGACGGGATCACGATCAGCTCGGCGGCGTTCGCTCACGATTGTCTCGTAAGGGCTTCAGGGGAAGG